GCACACATTTGGTTAATGTGCAAATTAATTAGCAGCCCTGGCACATACTCAATGAGAGCATGTCAAGCGCACACACACACACACACACACACACACACACAGTCAAATGGAGCCGTGATAAGTTGCAAAAATACGTTGGCGGGAGTTCTTGAGCATACATTGTTGTTTTCCAAAGTGCTTCAGCATTTCACTGCATCAGTGAATAAAGCATGTTCATCTATTTTATTTCTCTCTCTCTCTCTCTCTCTTTCTCTCTCTCTCTCTCTCTCTCTCTCTCTCTCTCTCTCTCTCTCTCTCTCTCTCTCTCTCTCTCTCTCTCTCTCTCTCCCTTTCTGTTCTCTCTGTCATTGTCTTTAAGAATGTATTACGTTATTCATTTTGCTTGCAGAGAAACATCTTGAGCAAGCGCTGTCAGAAGGTTGCAAGTTAGGCATGTGTGTTTATTTCATTTCTCTGAACGGCATCAGTAATTTAAAACACATTACTGACTAGTTCTTTTTTGTTCTTAATGCCTGTACGTACAGCCTCTCTCAAACTAAATTAACTACTCTCTGTATGCCATCGTTAAGCCTGTCAATCAAGCACGCACACACACACACACACACACACACACACACACACACACTTACACTTCTTCAGCCAAATCTGAAAATCCTCTGACTGTTTATTCTAATAGTTGTAAATCACTCAGATACACAAGAGGAAAACACATGGGGCATTAAACAAGCAAGATGTGTGTCATAATTACACAACAAACATGAGTTTGTTGTTAACAAGCCAAATGTTCATGTTGAATGTTGAATTTGACTGATGAAGAAGAATATATGCTGAGTTTTTTTCTCATTACCGCTTCTTAATAAAGCAAGGATCGTTATTACCGTTATTGATCATACTTGGTGTTTAAGGTTTTTTTGTTGTGTTGGGTCCGAAGTCCACCTTGTCGAGTCCAAGTCTTTAACCAATTGAGTTTTAGTGTGAGACGTTTATTAATGTCTTGTCATCTTAGTTTTATGTTGGTATTTTTCATTTTACACATGACGTGGATTAGACTAATCTGTAAAATAAAAAGTCCAACATATCCAAGTCCGAGTACCCCAACTCTATTTTTTTGGGTGATTTTTGGCTAAAAATAAATAAGGTATACGAGGAAAGACTTGTGCCAGTAATCAACTACCTAGCAACCATTCGTAACACCCTAGCAACCACACTGCAATCCACTCAGCAATGTACTCCAGTCTTAAGTGTCACATGATTCTTCAGAAATCATTATAATAATGCTGATTTGCTGCTCAATATACATTTCTTATTATTTCCAATGTTAAAAAAAACGGGTTTGCTGCTTTATTTCAGTGGGAATCTTCAGTGTTTTTTTAACAATAGAAAATTCAACAGAATACATTAGAGAGAAATCTTTTGTAACATAATAATTAAGACATTATAAATGTTTTACTGTCATTTTCGATCAATTTAATGCATCCTTGCTGAATAAAAGAAGGAATTTTCTTACTAACCCCAAACTTTTGAAAGTTTTTTTGAAACACAGTCCCTTGATGCTTGGGTTTTTTATCAGTGTTTTCATACATCTTCAGTGGATTGTAATTACCTTACACAAACTCCAGCAAAAACAGAAGACTGTTGTGTGCTTGTTTACACAAACCATTTAGCCCACACTGCTTCTCTCCATTAAACAGTTTTACACCCTATTTCAACGCTCCCCGCCTCATAATTCACATCATTTAGGGCATTTGTAAACACAATTCATTTAAAATGACAAACCTTTCCCTTGACGACACTTTGGTCGGCATTACATCAAGTCTACGTGATGCCGATGCAATTCTGAAATTAATTCAAAGAGATTTTTTGTCATATTTTCAAAATGGTGTAGGAGGAAAAGATACGTCAGCGCTCTAATGCAGAGCAGTGCGGAGAGAAAGCGAGAGATGAATTATAATTAGCAGGTGTAATTAGAGGATAGCAGACACTAATGAAGAAGGATTAATTGCTGTTATCATCAAGGACTCTGTATTAATGCCCTTATTTAAAATAAGCTGTCCACGTGTTCGTCACGGCAATGAACCGCAGACCTGAAGTGTGTTTGGCTCAACTGATCGTGAGATATTGAGCTTGTGCTGTTGTACTGATATGAGCATCAGGTGATTGTTGAATTACTGTAATTTGAGGTTCATTTATGTAGTTACATTTTTCATTATTTATTTCTGCTTTATTGTTCCAGTGTGTTTTATTGGATATCTGGGGCCGGGAAAATTTTCATCCACCGGTTTTAGAGCTTCATGTTTTATTTTATTGTTTTTTTATGATGTGTATTTGCTGTGTGATGTGGGAATCATCTCGATTGTATTACTGTGTAAAAGTATAACCTTCTTCTAAAAACGATAATATTCTGTGTCTTGTATTCATTAGTTCCTCTGACTGTTTTCAGTTGTTTTTATGTGAAATGTTTTTTTTTTAATAGTTTTCTCTTAATTTCTCATTCATCGTCATCTTCATTTGTTTTCATTTGAAATACGCCTATATTAAAATTCTGCGTATAGTTAAGTTGATCATTTTTATTTCATATTCTATATTAGTGTAGTATATTCTATATTTGATCTAAATAAATACAAAAATAAAAAATTCAAAACTAAGTATCACCGTATACAATTTCAACAAAGGTAACTTAATGTAAAAATAGAGGAATGAGCTTCAAAATTAAATACTAAATTTTTTTGTTTTTAATTATTTAAATCTCTAATATCGGCTAATAATCAATATTGTACCGATATATCATACATAGTTTTCTTTTAACACTGATAAAAGCCTGTGTGCTGAAATGTGTTTGCTTAAATTAATCTCCCGTCCCATGTTTTTGGTTTTACCTTGTTGAGTGTCTATATGTGCAGTGTCACAGTGAGTGAAAATGGAATTATTAGATCTTCTTAAGTGGCATGTTATTCATAAGAAACTTTTGTACTTAACCACACACACACACACACACACACACACACACACACACACACACACACACACACACACACACACACACACACACACACACACACAGTATTTCTGGGTGACATTTTTTAATGTAACATGATAAGAAGAGCAAATGGACAGAGTTAATTATAAAGAAAGCCCAGACAATTTGACAGTTCTTTTTTTCATTCTCTCTTTCTGTCTCTCTGACAATAACAAACCCACAGTCTGTTGAGCTCCTCAAAGTGGGAACGGTAGCCATTTTTTCTGGAAATTCATAGCAGAATAGTTGTGGAATTAGCAAAATTCCAGTTGGCTTAGGGTCATAGACAGATGTCTGAAGTGCGTCTGGCCTGTCGTCATTTCTCTCTCTCTGTGTATGTGTGTGTGTGTGTGTGTGTGTGTGTGTGTGTGTGTGTGTGTGTGTGTGTGTGTGTGTGTGTGTGTGTGTGTGTGTGTGTGTGTGTGTGTGTGTGTGTGTGTGTGTGTGTGTGTGTGTGTGTGTGTGTGTGTGTGTGTGTGTGTGTGTGTGTGTGTGTGTGTGTGTGTGTGTGTTTGTTCAAGTACGCATGTTGAATCAATACCTCTCTGCCCCAGACGGCCATAGTCCATCAGCGTCTTTACACACAAAACCTCTGCTGTTATCCGGGCTTTATCTTGTATGGTTGTCTTTTACTCAGACCACTTTACAACACACATTTATCTCCTGTTCATGAAAGCCAGTATTTAGCTAGTAGTAAATGTCATGCTAGTAGTCAAAGACATGAAATGCTTTTGGGATTTGAACACATCCTGCGGTGTGGCATACATAAGGTATGCTTACTGTAATCTGAAACCATTTTATTATTTTCTTTGTGCTTATATTAATAAAAAAACTAAATAAATTTTTCAAACCACAAATCGATTTAAAATGAAATATGGAAAGAAAACAAAAGTGCTTAAAAATAGTGGACTAAAAAGATAAATCCCTCACACACACACACACACACACACACACAGATATATATATATATATATATATATATATATATATATATATATATATATATATATAAATACACCTGTCATTTTGACTTGAAAAGACCATAAACATATTATAAATACGCAAATAATAATAATTAAATAATTAAAATAATAAATAAATAAAAATATACAAACAAATATAATTTATTTTTATATACTTAGAATTGTATATATATAAAAAAAAATATATATATATATATATATATATTTGTAATGTGTTATTATTATTAAAATTTTTAATTTAACTGTTGAAGGAAGAACATGACATTTTATAGAATTAAAATTTGATGTATACATATATATAATATAAATATAAATAATTATAACATATATTATCAACAAATCTGTGCATAAATGCAACTTGCATGCTTCAAATGCATTTTCAACACAGCTGGCACAGTGAATTTCAACACCAATCGCATCCATTTGCATGCAGTTTGCGCACACAAATCATTGGTATGTTAATATAAGCAACGTTTCTTTTTTCTGCAAATGAAACTGCGGCTATTGCAATGATTAATCTAAATTTAAATGTGGCGGGCTTTCATTTAGAACTCATGTAAATATAAATAGCAAGGGCTTTGGTTTGAGGTGCTTGTTAATATAATGTAATGTAAATGAATGTTCTTGTATGCAGAGCAGCGTGGTCGGCGGAGCATAAACGGGACGCAGATGGGACCCTCGTCCTCGGTTTTTGTTACGTCGCGATGCTCCGTTAACCCTTACAGAAGATGGGAGATGGGACGGGGTGAGAGGGACAATAAATTGAAAGCAGCAGAGCTCAAGGTTACAACACATCAATCCTGAGAGAGTGGATGCCGGAGATGAGACGAGTGGGAATGGAATTATAGCAGGGGAGAGAGAGAGAGAGAGAGGGTGCGATAAAGCTAGAATGAGAGAGCTGGGTGGGGGGGAGAGAGAAGAGAAGTGCAGAGAGAAGAGAGCGCACACCGAGAAAGAGAGAGCGAGCGAGCGAGAGGCATATAGCTACAGCACACTGACCTACAGACAGATGAGTAAGTGCTGTGTGTGGAGTGTTACCACTGTATCTTGTTATCGACGATCACATTAAGATGGTCCCGTAGCCCTCGCGCTCCGTATCTGGATATTTCTACTTCCATGTGGGATGAGCAGCTGTGCTGAGCGAGACCGAGGATCTGACATCAACACCATGAGGTACTCACGGAACAGGGGGATCGAGACTCGAGAGAGGTGTTTGAGAGTAGAAAGAGAGAGGGATGACAGTGATAACAAGCGGGAGATGCTGTGCAAGGTGGTGAGAGAAGAGGAAAGGAGATGTAGAAGGGTGGAAGAAGTGAGGGACGAGTGGAGGAGAAGTGAAGTGAAGTTGGGGTTTGTGCCTCTGTTGAGGGACAGTAATGTAATGTATTCTACATTAACCCAGATTCTGCTCACTTCAGGCTAGTAAGTTGTCTATATTCTGCTCCTTTTCTATTTTCTTGTATTTTGTCTTCTTAAACCCATAAAACTTTAAACTTAAATTTATGTTTAAACCAAAATCAATTTCAAATGTATAATTAAATGGAAATTAAAGATTTACATTTAAACCAATGTCTGAATAGAGTTCTGATTTGTAATTAAAGGAAAATACACGTATTTCAAACCAAATTCAGATTTAATTCACTGTTCACATTTAAATCCAGATATCATATTTACATTAAGTGCAAATCCAGATACAACTCAGATATATATATATATATTTAAATCAGGATACAATTCAAATGCATATTTAAATCCAAATTCAGATACAAATTGAGTTCACATTTAAATCCAGATGTTAAATTTACATTAAATACAAATCCAGATACAATTCAGATTTAGATTTAGATTTAGATAATGCCTTTATTTATCTCAAATAACTCAAATCAGGATACAATTCGAATGCATATTTAAATCCAAATTCAGATACAAATTGAGTTCACATTTAAATCCAGATGTAAAATTTACATTCAATACAAATCCAGATACAATTCAGATTTATATTTATATTTAGATAATGCCTTTATTTGTCTCAAATAAATCAAATCAGTATACAATTCGAATGCATATTTAAATCCAAATTCAGATACAATTTGAGTTCACATTTAAATCCAGATGTTAAATTTACATTCAATACAAATCCAGATACAATTCAGATTTATATTTATATTTATATTTAGATAATGCCTTTATTTGTCTCAAATAAATCAAATCAGGATACAATTCGAATGTAAATTTAAATCCAAATTCTGATATTTTGATCTATTTTGAGTTCACAGTTCACATTTAAATCCAGATTCAATTCAAATTTAAATCCATATTCCAGATAAAATTCAATTGCACATTTAAATCTACAGTAGATCCAATACGCATATGATATAAAAGTACAGAACAGTTTTTGTTTGTTCATTCCTTGAAACATATCTGTCAATACTACATTCAATTTGAATCGGAATTTGATGTGCATGAGGATATTAAGTCAAAACATTTTCAAATTCAGAGCAGATTATAAAAACTGATTGTAAAAGCACTATAATAAACGCAGTCCTATAAATGCAAATTCTACATAAATGCGGCGATTTGCTGTGCTTTTCAACCACCGACTATATTAGTTGGCTGAAGAATAGTTTGTTCAGATTATGTCAATAACTCTTTACTGAACATGGTTGTTTATAGCATAAGCTGCTTTGTGTTGCCTGGGAACATGCCTTACTTTTAATGCAATCTTCTGTGCAAATGGCAGAGTAAATGCTTCAAAAGTCTCTGCTCAAGCCGTAATAGCAATATTCGGTGTATCCTGTTCTTTTGTGTATATTCTTTGAGTAAAACCCCTGTCTTTACTGTTCCTGTGAGAACTGGCAGTAAAAGAGACCGTCTCAGTCTCTCTCTCTCTAGTGGCTATGAGCTCTTATCCGTATATTGTGTTCTGGACAAAAGCAGCTGTAGTGTGAAATCTCTAGGAACGCAGATACAGTGCAGTGTAATGTCAGAAAGCCAAGGGAAGAGCGAGACACATCCAAGGGAATGAGAGTGTTTGAATAGGAAACGTTTCGCAACAGCATCAGATCTCTTGAATCGTGGATCTTTTCATCTTATGTTGGACTCCAAATACGCATGTAAGGGTTGGTATCAGCTGGACGTTCCTCGCGCTAATTTTATCTGTGCCGTAAAATAAGAGAAGCACAGACCATGCGGAACGAAAATAGAACGTAATGACTGAACGCAAGCCACTTATTAGACTCTATCATGTGCTTTATAATTTCCCAGAATCCCTTAAAAATCATGCTATGCTGTCATTGTGAGTACAATTGTGTTCTGTGGACCTTGACGACCCTAGAGTTTCCATAAATATAACAGCAATGTCACCGAAATCAATCCTCTCTTCTTCTGCCGGCCGTTCTTCAAAGAGGAATCTTTCTATCAATACACTATTGGTTATGCAGAGAATAACATTGTTTTACGTTAAGTCCTGCATGATTGTTTTTGACGGGATATGTGTTTTGAGTGCTGTATTCGATCGCTAACTCGTGAATCAGGCTGTTTGTGTGGCTTTGTGATTTGTCTCCTCAGAGACTAGTGTCTGTTTTCTTCCCTCCTCTCTTTTTCTTTCTTTCCTTCCCTTCTTTTTAAATGCTTTCCTTGAGGCACACAGCTGCCTTGGCATGAAAAGCAAAAAAAGTCAGTTGATTACAAACAAGCGTAATTTGTACCAATTTTTCAGAAAATTACCCAATTTGGCGTTTTTCCTAATTGAATACAATCTAATTCAAATGATAAAATCAGCATGGCAATCTGAGTAAGAAGTTGAATTTAAAATAATGTGAATATCAGAGTATTAATAACTAGTACTTCGCCCTTTTGCTTTAATGGCGGCAGGACGAAATCCACAAGTGTAAGTGAAACCTGATGATCATATTCTCCAGAATGATTTGATAAGTATAACATCTGACCACAAGTTTACTTGAAGGATCAGTAACCAAGGAAAAGAAGCTGAAATATGTACATTCATTTGACATCATAATGTTTCTTTGTTTTATTTCCAGCTTTGAATTCGATTTTGAATCTCAGATGTCAGCAGCTCAGTGTTTTTGCAGGTTGGCATAGAGCGTATGAATAAAAAGTAATTTACCCTTACCATCATCAAATTAAAGATGATAATGTGTTGTTCTCGTTCAGTGTAAATGTGAGTCGGATAACTTTTGACAGTAAAGTCTGTCATGCAGTTCTGTGTTTGAGGGTAATTAAGGGAACAAATTAAATTCTGCCATCTGTGTGTCAAAGCAACAAAACTGTTAGTTTAGTCTGATTTAGTTTTGAATTATGCAGTTAATAAGTGCAGGCTGACATCTGTATGTTGAGTTCAGGATAAGAACTGCCACTCAAATATAACCGTGCCACTCAATTATATTTTAGTGCAAAAACCTGCGTCTTGTTCATAAACCACACCAGATTGGGAATTTTTTTTTTTATATATTGGTGTTGGTAAATTAGTGTTAGGTCTTTTTTCATGCTCATTTCCTCCTATGTTCGTATTCAATTGTCTTTGCTATCACCTAAAGCTCATTCAAAGTTAATTATTAAAAACTATTTTAAAACAATAATTTAATCACACTGTTAAATGATAGCCTTTGTGATGATTTCAGGTGATTCAGATGGTGGCAACTTACAAAATTATTAAATATTAAATGCTTATATTGTAATATTATGCTTATATTGTTATCATTACGAGCACAAGTTGTAAATGCTGCCCAACACGTTCGCTGTGTCTGCTTAACTATTATCTCAGAATATACATTTATATCCAATTATTTCTCAGAATATCCATTTTTTCTTTCTGTACATTTTAATGTTGTAATGCCTAAATTCACTTGTAGCCATTAAAACAGTTGATTTTAGTTTTTAGTGTTTTATTTTTCATTTATTTGGACAAAATCGTACAGAATTTTAAAATGTAGGCCATTTATCGAATGAATTATTAAAATCACTTTCACGGCCCTAACTTAACCCGAGCTGCTGAGTCTTTAGCCATATTTATTCATCATTATTCATTTGTAAGTTGTTTTAAATAAAAGTGTCTGCTAAGTGATTAAATATAAGTGTATCATAGTGGCCAGAATTCAAATTTTGGTACATCACTGTCTATGGGTAACTCTAGTTATTATATTTGTGCGGTAACGGCATGACTGCCGGCTTCTCTTGTGTTCACCTGCACAGCAGTATCACAGGAGTATTAGAATATTATGCGGGATAATTGTGTGAAAGTGAAGTTCTCAGCATGGATTTGCTCTTTGACTCAAGAGTTGTGACATCTTCACGTCCTCCACCTCTCACTTCACCTCTTCAGCTCAGCCTGAGTCCTCTGGTTATTGCTCTCAGGCTTGTTCATGCTATCCAAGTGTACCCCCCTCACACAGATTAGTCCCTGCTGTGTGCGTGGTGTGTGTATTTAGCTCATGGTGGGTAGCAGTGGGTGGGGTTTTATTTTCCAACACAGATTAGCAGCTGAGAAGGGGATTCCATCCTATTAAATTATTCATGCTCAAGAAATGATTACAGTGCATGAAACAGCATTGTGCATCAATAAAAGCCTTACCCTAGATCGTGTGTGTGTGTGTGTGTGTGTGTGTGTGTGTTCCTAATTCACTGGGTTCAAATTAGATGTCGATCATAATATACATTCAGTCAGAGAGATGGCTTATTCCAAATACTGTTCATCATCTCTCATGGTGGAAAGACAGTGGATTGATATCTTTAAGTTAAAGGGATAGTTCACCCAAAAAGGAAAATTGTGTCATAATTTTCTCACTCTCATCCAAGCCTGTACGAGCTTCTTCTTTCTGCTGAACACAAAAGAAGATATTTTGAAGAATGTTGGTTACCAGATAGTTGATTTCCATAGTATTTTTTTCCTATGGAAGTCAATGGGTGCCGTCAACTGTCCAGTTACCAACATTCTTCACAATATCTTCTTTCGTGTTCAGCAGAAGAAGAAACTCATACAGGTTTGGAACAATTTGCGGGTGAGTAAAAGACGACATAATTTTCTACTATCCGTTTAAGACACATTAAGTTGTACAAGTTTTAAAAAACATTGGTTATGCGAATGTTAAAGGAACAAGTAACATTTAAAAACATTAGACAAACATTTTCGAACAAACGTTTTGGGGGGAAAAAAAAGAATCATGTATGGATAATGTTTTTATGCTAATATTATGTTTATGGCTTTAACAATTAAGGTCATTAAAACTTCATAAATCATAAATACAATCTTCAAACCGCGTGCGGTCACCACCCCAAGGTTGAGAGCCTGAAATTGGTTGGAGCTGAAATTTTCTGCCTCGTTTCAGGTTTAAAACGGAGTAAAATGAACTTGTCTGTTTCTCGTTTTCCCTACAGGTGTCACAAGGTGAAATCAGCGTAGTGTGAGCGTGAGCCCTGAGAGGGTGACCGGTTTTGTCCATGGCGACGCCGGGGCTGGTGTCCCGGCTCCTGGTGCTGCTGGCAGTGTTAGCCGTGGCTCATGCTTCCGTCTTCCAGTCCAATCAGAGACTGAAACCACGGTTCCAGCGAGACCGCCGCAACATCCGCCCCAACATCATCCTCATCCTCACCGATGACCAGGACATTGAATTGGGTGAGTGGAAAAAGAACATTCAGATTCCTTTAGGATAAATTATGACAAGCCTCCACAAGATTTTTCCTTAAAACTCCTAGTCTGGCTATCACCAGACCAAGCTCAATCTTTTAAGACTGGACATTGGTCTGGGGAGTCTGCTATGTATTTTCTACTGCACAAGAGGCGTGATCAACGGGCGTAGTTCAAATGACTCTGTACGCAATTGGATAGTCCTTCGACCAATCAGACCAACGATCCGGGTGACGTACTTTGCAGCGAAAACTCCAGGCAGGAAATGTGTCAACAAACGTGTTGGTTTGGAGTAGGGCTGCAACAACTAATCGATAAAATCGATTATACTCGATTATGAAAATCGTTGTCAACGAATGTCATTATCGATTAGTTGGTCTGCTTACGTCACGGGGAGCGTTTACTGGTGATTGGTTGAAACAGGCCAATCAGGATGCTCTCTGTCTTACACGCGCTTCATGAGGCACACACGCAAGGTTTCTCTCCCTCGTTGCTCTGCCGCGCGCTCGCGCTACACGGTTTGGAGCACAGTCTCTTCTGTCTCGCATGCGCGCTCTTGCTTGCGCGCTCAAATCCCGGGAGTTTCAACTAATTTGCGAGCATCAGGGAGCCGCTATCAATATGCGGGTGACTTCCAGAACTTCCGGGAGACTTGGGATGTCTGTATTTTGCGTCTCGAGCATCAGGTTGCGCAATCAGTTCGCTCGCAACATAAGTGATGGATTAAAATAGTGCAACCGCAGAAATATTAAATTAAAACGGTCTTTACAAAGCGAAGCACTAAATATAAAGGCAGTTAATAACAGCAGCAGTAAAATATTGTTTTTTAGGCACTGTACTCAGTGGTTTTCAGCGAATGTTTGTGCACTAATGCATCATTTTTCCTATCTTTTTAATCAAGCCTGTTAGCTTGCTGCGTACCTCCATTCTGCTCTCTTTATATAGCATTTGTCTACTATTAAGTTTAATTGTTTTTCAAACGCGATCTACTGCGGCTCTATGTTCACACGCTTGTTTTCAGTCTTTCTATATTTTTTTTTTTTTACAAATTATCCTTATAATTCAATTAATTTTAAATAAAAATTAAATGAATTATATATTTTTAGATGTTTTTAGTTTATATCTTCACATCTGAACAACATGTCTGTAAATTTGTTTTAACAAAAATTGTGTTAAAACAATATGTTGGATATAAATGTTTTTTTTTTTTTTACATTAATCATGGTTGTCAACTTGCCATCAGCAATTATCATTAAAAACAATGCAAATATTGATATTTGTAAAACTCAATGTGTGGCTTTTGCACTTTTTAAAGTACACTTTTACACATAAATATCCTAATTTAGGGTTTTAGGTAACACTTTATTTTATTTTATGTGTCCTTGTTACATATGTTACATGTACTTACTGTAGTAATAACAGTAAATTATGCATAATTTATAACATAATAACTAACTAGCATAATAACTAACCCTCAACCTAATCCTACCCTATTCCTATAGTAAGTACATGTAGTTACTTAATATTACTCTGTACTTAAATATATAATTACACTGTAACAAGGACACCTTAAAATAAAGTGTAACCGGGTTTTATTTAGTCACAATAAACAAAAAATCTAATTGAATCTTTTTATCCGATTAATCGAAAAAATTATCGTCCGATTAATCGATCATCAAAATAATCGTTAGTTGCAGCCCTAGTTTGGAGCATTGATCAGCGGTTTGCAGAATCAGCAATGGCATCGAGCGTTATTTGCAGGTTGTGCACCAAAAAAAAACCATGAAACTGAGTGTATTTACACCCACTCGAGCGATTTGTTTGCTAAATCAAAAAGAAGGGAGGTTAAAAGGAATTGGATTGGATTAAACCCGCCAATAGCGCGCCAGGTGGATAAGCCAGTTTGTGATTGGTCCCCGCAAAACTGTAACGGAAACAGGATAAAAGAACGTATAGGTTTTATTTAACGCCCAAAAAAGCATGTCTTAAACCAGACACTAATGCGCTGCTCTTGGTAGATTGTGTTGGTCATCATGGAAATGATCCGGCTGTGTCTGTGTTCTTTCATTTGTGTGTCGTCAGAAGATCACACGCAGAACTTTCCTCCCATCAGCGCTTTTGTGGGATTATGCTCTCAAGCTAATTCGCCCTGTTTTTTAAAATAAAAATTGTATTAAACTATTCCTCAACCATACATTTACAGCTTAACTTTGCGATGCATCTTAAAGTGGAATTCTATTGGCATTTTTAAATGTGTTTATCAGCTTTTTAATGGCTTTTAAACACAGCTCATTAAATCAGATTTTAAAGCCAGAATAATTTAAATGTACACTTCTGTTAAAAACTTTGTTCAGTAAGATTATTGAAAGAAATTAATACTTTTATTCAGCAAGGATGCATTGAATTGATCCAAAGTGACAGTAAACACATCATAATGTTACCAAAAAAAAATGCTCAGAAATGAATGTTCTTTTAACATTTTCTGAAGGTCACTAAAGGATCATGTGACACTGAAGACTGGAGTGATGATGTTGAAAATTCAGCATCACAGGATTAAATTACATTTTAAAATATATTACAAATAGAAAACAGTTAGTTTAAATTGAAATAATATTTGGTTTTACTGTATTTTTAATCAAATTAATAGAGCCTTGGTGAGCATAAGAGATTTCTTTCAAAAACATTAAAAAACAACCTTTTGAACGATATTGTATTTCTATTCCTTTAGGTTTTTAAATTTAATGCATGCTAACAGTGTAATGTGACCTAACTGCTTGTGGAAGAGAAAAAAAATCAATGTCACACATTCTTGTGCTCTAAAAACGGCGCAGTTCTTTAAGACTTTAATGGATCTAACAAATGAGATCTCTCAGTCCAAACAGGTTTCAGGTATGAGATGCTGAAAGTATGTGTATGTGAGAGCTCATTTATTTTAATATTTTTTACAAGCAGCTGTCTCTCTGTGATCAAAAAAAGATCATTTTTGGCTTTGTCAAAGCGGAAGACAGTGATTCAATTAGGAAGGAAAGTCCCCACTCCTTCCAGCAGTGGACGGACAGTGTCAAGTTTATACACACACACGTTGTATTTTCATGTTTTATGGGGACTTTCCATAGACATAGTGATTTTTATACTGTACAAACTGTATATTCTCTCCCCTTACACTAACCCTACCCCTAAACCTACCCATGCATTTTTACATTTACTGTATAAGCTGTTTTCCTCATGAGGACCAAAAAAATGTCCCGACAAGAACAAGGATTTATAATATCGCCATCTTTGTGGGGACATTTTGTCCCCTATAAGTTATACCTGAACCACACTGACACACACTTGTGTAATCTGTAAAGATGAATATGGCAGAGATGACAGACCATATGACGTCTCGTCTCCGCTTGCACACTTTTCCTGTGTGAACTCTGATTTGTGTTGTCCATCCATACTGACATTTGCGTGTAAAGTTCACAGAGGATTTTTGCCGAGGATGTGCTGACCTTTCTACATGAATCTGTAGAGGTGTGGAGATCCTGTCTGAAAAGGTCAAACTGAACTAGACTTCCTGTCTCTGATTATCAATTGAGCCAATCAGGGTGTAGGTTGTGTGGGTTTACTTAGCTATACTTTGTTCCCAGACATGATTCATATTGTGTTAATCCGTTAATCAAATATGAATTATTGTGCATTTTTTACTGTACATTTTCAAAATTGTCTTTATTGTATATGCCACTTTGCCGTTGGTAAGATTTTTTAATGTTTTGGAAAGAAGTCTTATGCTCATCAGTTATATTCATCAGTTTATTTGATGAAAAATATTGTAATAAAAACAGTAATATGTCATACATTTTATTTGAGCAAGAGAAGGTCAAATAAATGCTGAGAAGGAGCAGAAACAAAGGTGTTTATATTCTGTAACTTTTAATAAATAGTGTGTGACTTGAATATAAAGCTTGTCTCATATATCTCTAAACATTCACACACCCACACCACTGGTGTCATATGATTTCCCATGTTGCAAACAATCAATACATTTCCTCTTAAAGGCTGGAATGTCACAGAGAATTAATGAAAGAACTGATATCTTTATCCTGTCGATGTCATGGTGTTTCGTAGAGGAAGAGAAAGAGAAGAAGCCAGTTGTTTTTGAAGTAGGGCAGTTAGTAGAGCTATGTCACCTTTAGTAATACGTATATGATAGATCTCTCCCTCTCTCTCTCTCTCTCTCTCTCTCTCTCTCTCTCTCTCTCTCTCTCTCTCTCTCTCTCTCTCTCTCTCTCTCTCTCTCTCTCATGCAGGCTCCATGCAGGTCATGAATAAGACCCGGCGGATCATGGAACAAGGTGGAACGCACTTCACCAACGCGTTTGTCACCACACCCATGTGCTGTCCCTCACGCTCCTCCATGCTGACGGGGAAGTACGCCCACAACCACAACACCTACACCAACAACGAGAACTGCTCTTCACCCTCCTGGCAGGCACAACATGAGCCGCGCACTTTTGGAGTTTACCTCAACAACACTGGCTACAGGACAGGTGGAGAGCATACAAAACACACAACAAAAATAATTACTTGGTTAAATTGTCATGTTATTATCACATGTTATTATAAAGTAAAATACAGTGGTGTGGAGTGCAGAATAGCAGAGTAATATAGGGCATGGTATTATACAGAAAAGCATACATCATAGTGCATAGTATTTTAATAGAGTAGGGTATGAATGTAGAGGCATTGTCACATGAAGCAGGGTAGCATACAGTATAGTAGTGTTTGAATGTTATTTTCACATGACAAGGTATAGCATAGATTGCAGCATAGAGTAGTGTAGACTAAAACAGTAGAGTAGAGTGAAGTGGACTAGAATAGCATAGAAGTGAATAGACTAAAACAGAGTAGACTAGAGTGGAATAATGCTTAGTACTAGTTTACTGGAGTAGAGCAGAAAAATATTTGGTAGACTGAAGTAAAGGGAGATTGGCCTAGAGATTAATAGAATAATGTAGAATAGATTAAATAGAGTGGCATAGATGGAAGTAAAGTAGAACTGAGTTAAGTTGACAAGATTAAAGTAAACTAGAATAGCCTGAAGATAAGGTAGAATACAGATTATATTAAAGTAGAGTTCCATAGAATGAAGTAGAGTAGAATAGTTAGGTAGACTAGAATAAAGTAAAGGAGAATGGCCTAGAGATCAGTTGAATAATGTAGACTAGATTAAAGTAGAGTGGCATAGAGTTGAGTAGAGTAGACTAAAGTAGAGGCGATTGGTTTAGAGATGAGTAATGTAGACTTGATTAAAGTAGAGTGGCATAAGCTGAAGTAGAGTAGAATAGAGTTGAGCTGAGTAGACTAAAGTAGAGGCGATTGGTCTAGAGATGAGTAGAATAATGTAGACTTGATTAAAGTAAAGTGGCATAGGCTGAAGTAGAGTAGAATAGAGTTGAGTAGAGTAGACTAAAGTAGAGGCGATTGGTCTAGAGATGAGTAGAATAATGTAGACTTGATTAAAGTAGAGTGGCATAGGCTGAAGTAGAGTAGAATAGAGTTGAGTAGAGTAGACTAAAGTAGAGGCGATTGGTCTTGAGATGAGTAGAATAATGTAGACTTGATTAAAGTAAAGTGGCATAGGCTGAAGTAAAGTAGAATAGAGTTGAGTAGATTAGACTAAAGTAGAGGCGATTGGTCTAGAGATGAGTAGAATAATGTAGACTTGATTAAAGTAGAGTGGCATAGGCTGAAGTAGAGTAGAATAGAGTTGAGTAGAGTAGACTAGAGGTGATTGGTCGAGAGATGAGTAGAATAATGTAGACTTGATTAAAGTAGAGTGGCATAGGCTGAAGTAGAGTAGAATGGAGTTGAGTAGAGTAGACTAAAGTAGAGGGTGATTGGCCTAGAGATTAGTAGAATAATGTAGAGTTGATTAAAGTAGAGTGGCATAGGCTGAAGTAGAGTAGAATGGAGTTGAGTAGACTAAAGTAGAGGCGATTGGCCTAGAGATGAGTAGAATAATGCAGACTTGATTAAAGTAGAGTGGCATAGGCTGAAGTAGAGTAGAATAGAGTTGAGTAGAGTAGACTAAAGTAGAGGCGATTGGCCTAGAGATGAGTAAAATTATGTAAACTAGATTACAGTAGAGTAGCATAGACATTGTTGGACTAGACACAATCAGAGTGTATCAGCAGTGTCTTTAAGATCACCCTATCATATTCTTATACCCTTTGATGATTTCCATCTGAAAACCTCTAAAACATACACCAAAGCACTGTGGCGCATAATCTATTCCTAACAATAACAGCCTGACATGAATGTAGAATTAATTTAATAGATTGAGCTCTCATTCATCTGTGAGCTGTTTCATCAGTCAGAGTTGTCTGTTGGGCTTTTCACACACTTTCACCAGAGATTCATTGTGACAGGCCCCCAGGTCTCTCTCTCTCTCTCACACACACACACACACACACAGTCAAACACGCTCTCACAGGCTCTTGCACGAACATTGACATAATCTGTCTCTAACAGATGATTTTCATTAAACAATTTCTTTGGGCTGTAATAGCTGTGTGTGTGTGTGTGTGTGTGTGTGTGTGTGTGTGTGTGTGTGTGTGTGTGTGTGTGTGTGTGTGTGTGTGTGTGTGTGTGTGTGTGTGTGTGTGTGTGTGTGTGCGTGCGCGTGCGTGCGTGCGTGCGTGCGTGCGTGCGTGCGTGCGTGCGTGCGTGCGTGCGTGATATGATCTGTTTGTGACACAGATATTATCCACAACTATGTGCATGTAAACATAGAATCACCAGCTGTGAATGGTATGCCTGTACACACACACACACACACACCTGGCACCAAGTCAGGCTTTTAGTGGTAACAGTGATCCATTAGAGCACACTTCCTCTTGGAGAGATGACCAGCATCCCCTCTAATGTAACATTTCCAACTCAAATCTTCAGACAGCTCCCTGTCCTCGATTTATCTACATGCCTAATGTATCTTAAATGTGCAATGTATTTTTAGTATTAAAAGTTTTTATTTTCTATTCTATTCTATTCTTAATTCTACTCTGTTGTTCCCATCTCTTCTCAGCCATACTGTAGTATATTCTGTTCTTCTCTACTAAACTATACCATACACTATTCTACTCTGTTATACTCTTCTAACTCTCTACCATACTCTACTGTGCTTTGCTATACTTTACTTTGTTTTACTCCACTCTACTCAACTCTATTTCACTCTACTCTGTTTGATTCTATCCTGTTCTACAATATTTAATTATATTCTACCATACTCTACTATACATTCTACTTCTACTCTACTGAACTGTACCATATGCTATTTTACTATATTCTATTCTTCTTTACTCTGTTCTACTCTCCTTAATTCTTCTCTACTGTGCTCTGTTCTGTTCTGCTCTACTCAACTGTACTAAATGCTTTTCTACTCTTCTGTTTTGCTTTACTATATTTTACTCTTCTCTGTTCTACTCTACTCAACTCTGTTTTGCTCTGCTCTGTTCTACACAATACACTATTCTACTCTACCATTCTCTGCTCTATTCTGTTCTACTTTACTCTGTTGAATTATTCTACTCTGTTGTTATTATGTTCTACTATACTTAACTCTACGTATACTCTACTGTGCTCTGCTTATCTGACTCAACTGTACTATATGCATTTCTACTCTTCTGTTTTACTATACCATACTATTCTACTTTATTCTGTTCTACTCTACTCAACTTTATTCTGCGTTTCTGTATTTACTCTGCTGTGTCACACTCTACTGCACTCTGCTCTCTTCTGTTTTACTCTATTCTACTCTAGTGTACTCAGCACTGTTCTATTCTATTCTGCTCTACTCTTTCTTGTCTATATTCTCTGTTCTAACCTACTCTACTGTACTCTTTTCTGTTCTGCTCTTCTCGACTATATTTTTTTCGACTGTACTCTACTGTTCTCTCTGAAACACTCACATGTGTCCTGAAATGATAACCATGCTCTCTTGTGTTTGTGTTTTCCCAGCATTCTTTGGGAAGTATCTGAACGAGTACAACGGTACGTACATTCCTCCGGGCTGGAGGGAGTGGGTCGCCATGGTGAAGAATTCCCGCTTCTACAACTACACCCTGTGCAGGAATGGTGTCCGAGAGAAACACGGATCTGAATACGCAAAGGTCTGTGTGCTAGGTGCTCAATGATGTGGAACCCTGTCTTTTCTTATTGCATCTCCTCTATTCATTTCTTTCCATGTTTTCATCCATTCTTAACCAGTTTGATTGATAGTCTTGTTAGTCTGATTTATAACAAAGTCAGACCTTTCCCTGTCTGTCTCTCCCACTCTTTCTCTCATTGGTTCTCCCTCAAAGGTCGGTCTCTTTTGTCAGGGTTCATCAGTCTCTCTTTTGCTTAATCTAAGCTCCTTTTTTTTTCCTGTTGTTTTTTCTTTTACCATTCATTGCAGTGACTGACATTCAAGCTCCCTGGCAACAGAAAAGTTTGCTTATGGGTGGGCTATATGTGTGTGTATTTTAAGCTTTTGATTAACTGAAATATTTTAAATCAGTAGATTAACGATCATATCTCTATATCCCTTGTAGGACTACCTGACAGATCTCATAACCAATGACAGCATCAGTTATTTCCGCATGTCAAAGAAGATCTACCCACACAGACCCATCCTGATGGTGATCAGTCACTCGGCCCCTCATGGCCCTGAGGACGCGGCTCCTCAGTACACCACTGCCTTCCCCAATGCATCACAGCACATGTGAGTCCAAAACGCAATTGCAGGGGTGTCCTAAACTCTGTCCTGCAGAGTTTAGCTCCAGTTTGTCTCAACACACCTGCCTTGAAGCTTATTCAGAGATGGTCTTATTATTGGGAGATACGAGGTTCCATGGCTCTACCATTGTAGAAAGCGTAATGGCTAAATTGGATCACGTGTGCCTTGATAACCAATCATATTACAGCCTTGACGCCATTGAATTTTTTTGGAGTTGTGCGATAGTCAGTCACTGTTTGCGGATACCATAGAATATCTCATACCATATATGAATGAGAAGTGCCGTAAACTGATTCGTACCTGTCGCTCAATCGGCTGTTACCTCTCTTATAAAACAGCATTCTTTTCAGTGTAAACTCTAAAAATCGATCAATCCAAAATGAATGTTTAAGAGCAAACATGTTGAAGATTAGCCAAAGGGCTTTCCTCACAAAAGCGGTTTATTCAGCGTGAAGCCTCTCCTCCTTTGACATCCATTAAAAAACGACCTCTTGTCTCCCTCCCTGGTTGCAGGCTTTGTTCCAGTTTTCCTAGTAAGACCCTGATTAGCTGGTTCAGGTGTGTTTAATTGGGGTTGGAGCTAAACTTTGCAGGACACTGGCCTTCCAGGAGCAGGAATGGACACCCCTGATCTATTGCATAACATCTATTTTAAAAAGGTCTGAAAAATTGCAGAATTTTTGAATGTCTTGGTATTTGCTTGCATGAACTCCACCCGCTACAACCTGACGATCATGTTCTCCAGCATGATTTGAGATGATCCAAAGACCAGATCTGACTGACTGTACAAAGAGTGATCACATGATCAATGTCACAGATGTGTTTATTTATTTGATTATTAACCTAGACATGAATGTAGGATCATACATATTTTTCGTTGAGGTCTCAGACTTTGGGAGAAATACATGTAAAATGTCAGTGGTAGCTGAGATGAACAAGAAGAGAGCAGAGAATCAGCTGAAAACTCATGGATAATGGAAATCTCATCCCACATATCTCTATTTCTGTCACTCAAGTGCTACTGAATAGAGTTGTTATAATGGAAACAGTCCTCTTTGGTTCATAGTAATGTAATGCCACAGACACACACACTTGTTTTTTTTTCTCTCCTGCTCTCTTGCTAATTCCCCACCAGCTGCTATCAGACATTTTTTTCAATGTCTCTTTCTTTCGCTTCGTTCATCTCATCTCTCCACTTCTGTCCCTCCAGCAGATAAATCCTCCTGTCTCTGTCTATGCTTTTCCCAAGGTCTGTAATCCCCCTGCCTGAGAGACACTGCCATTCTTCACACACATGCTGAATACGTACATGATGATGAAAAGAATATTTGTGCACACTCACTCGCATAGTCTCGGTTAAATCCTGTCTACACGTGATGTTGTTGTTTTTAGGTAGCTGCATTTCCTAAACCTCTATAACCCCACTCTCACTCTGTGTGTACACCAAGTCATCTCAAAATCTCATTTTATAGTTCTCAATGTCTATTGTTTTAACCGCTAATCGTATAAATTCAGCCTCTGTACACAAGAAATCTCTGGCCATGGGCTGAGTTAAACATTAAATTTAAGATAAATGATTTTTTTGCGCTTTTCTTAAGTGAATGTATCCAGTATCTGTGTGTTTGCGCGCTGATATAGTGAATGCGTCCAGTGTAATTTATGTGCCGCTAGCCTCAAAAAACAGCAAAATTACAAAAATAATAATGAATTTTCCAAACACTCCTCTTGTCTGTCATTGGTTGGATAAAAAAGATAGCCCCTCCCCAACCTCATGCTATTGGTTGAGCCAGTGTCGCAACTTTTCTGGGTGATAAACATACGAATGGCTTACGCTATTGGTGGAAAAAATACACACTTCTAATTTAACGTGCGTTTTTGCATTTCTGTGGTGGTAGTGGTAATAAACTAAATCCCTCAAGAACAAAAAGTTATCTTTAAACTTCAGTGCCAATAAGCCAGATGTTATTATTTACATAGCTCACATATTAACAGTTAACTTAACTAAGTGAATAGAAAGAGAAAACTGACCATAGTCTAAGCTCCTCTTATGGCAACTCCACTTGCACATTCTTGCATTGCACTATAAATTGCACACTGACACATTTCATACACATAAAACAAAACATAAAACAAGCTTAAAGGTTTACGTTTCTGTACTTGTATACTATCTATTACGTGTCATAGACACACCCGGCAGCACACGCATAGATATATTATCTAGTTAACACACCACAAATGAGCAAACAAAAAGCCTGTAATGTACTAAATTCTCTCTCTCTGTCTCTCTCTCTCAGATTCGATTTGCTTTCAGGACATTGTGTCTCTAAGCACAAAACCACACAACCATGAGCTTCCATTTCTCTCGCCAAAAAAAAAAGAGAGAGAGAGGAAGAGAGAGCAAAGAGATACTGTCAATGAATATTACCATCTTTCCTGAAATATTGAGGCGTCAGGAATGAAATCAGACATTAAAGGGACAGAATGTCCACAAATGTGCATATTCGCTTTCTCATACAGCCTGATGAAAACAAAAACAGATGAATATTTTTTCATTAGTAGATGGGAAGCTCTTCAGATAAACGTGTGTGTGTGTGTGTGTGATACGATTTTGGAGGCTTTTATAGTTTAACAGACGTTTCATTCACCACTGGAGTAAATAAAAAACCAAAGATGCAAACCTGCCTACTTTATGACTCAAATAAAATATCCATCACCCTTTCAAAGTGACTGCTCAAGGCAGCGTGTGTCTGGAATTCAACGGTCTTTTATTATTTTTCTGATGTCATCTCACTTTCACCATTAAAAACAAACAGCCTTGCTCCTGTTTTTCCTATCCAGTCTCTTTTGCACACAATTCTTCTTAAAAGCATGTTTTATGATTCATATACACATATATTTCATCTCCACCCGTCTGATTGTACACATACATTGCAATGAGTTATGCCTTATTTTTCACCCCATAGCCATAAAAAATGTCTGCGCTCCACACACGCATTCATATGCATGTATAATTCTCCTGCTGTCAGGGGGGGGAATGCCCCAGAATTCCTCTATCCTCTTTTAATTTTCCATGAAGAATTGCAGGGAGCGCTATATTCTCTCCATTCAGTCCTCTGCAAACCACCCGCCACCGTCCACAATGGCCTCTCGCTAGTCTTGTACTTCTCTGCTCCTTGCCCTCGTACAGTGCTGTATGTGATTAACCCCTCGCTGCCCCTCGGACTGGCACAAGGCCACTGGAGAGATATTGTCCAAATCCTTACAGATAGTCCGAGGGCGTGTATTATTCGGTGGGAAAATCCCCATGTTCTCATCGCCGCGTGAGCCCGCTGCACCTGTTTCAACTCCAACACTCCTGAGATGGAGGGAATAATGAAAATATGTTCGGAAAAGAACAAGAGAGGGAGAGACAGAATGTTTGGAGAGGATTAAAAGGATTATATGTAGAGCAATAAAGAAGATAAAATCAGAGAGAGAACGAAAATGCCGTTTACTGTCTACATAGGCAGCTGCCTTACGAGGCAGTGGTGTAACCGTGATGGAATCTCATGTGACTTATTTGTGCCTCGATATAGGCAGCAACTCGACACACAAGTAGCATTCCTCACGTCACACACACCAGAGACTCCGTTTACTCAATTCAACTTGAGTTTACATTAGCATGTTGCTAAGCTATTGCTTTCACAGTCTAATAAATGCAGAGCACACACACAAATAATATTGGGTAAAATAGTGTGTTGTTAATCAGATTAGAACTATTTTTTTCTCAGAATAATTCTGTATTAAAATATCTATAATCAACTTTTCTGTTTACTCCGTTTACAGGTAATTCCACTTGAGTAATTCACCCAGAAATTAAGTCAAGATCACTAAGATCGGGGGATTCGAACTTACTTTCTGTACCTAGGACCAGATTAAAAAATAGGGGTGACCGTGCTTTCGCAGCTTATGGACCCAAGCTATGGAATAGCCTACCCTCAAATATCAGATCTGCCCAAACTCTGAGACTTTTCAAAACCTCTTTGAAAACGCACCTCTTCTCACTAGCTTTTAATATACCCTGATGAGTCCGTCTTTCTCTCTTTGATGTGTACTTGTTGGTCTCGCCAGTTGTTTTTAAATGTGCTATACAAATAAAATTGTTGTTGTTGTTGTTGTTTGATGTTAGCATGATGCTAAGCTAATTCCCTGATTAGTCTAATAAACCTAAATACAGAGCACACACCAATATTGAGTGAAATAGTGTGTTGTGAGTCAGATCAGAGCTATTTTTACTTAAAATGTTTCTGTATTCTCGAACCAGTGCAGCGTATGTGGATTACGAAAGTGAAAGGAAGCAAATGAAAAAGTTAAAGAAAGCAGCTGCGATTTTGACCATAACCCATGTATTTCCAACCTGATCTCACGGGAATTCGTACGAATTTTACGAGGTGGCTAATTCGTACGACCTGACTCGTACAAATTCGTACGATTTTTGCTAATTCGTACATATTTTACGAGTTACCAAATTCGTATGAATTCGTACGAATGACCGACCCCTGACCCCGCCCCTAAACCTACCCATCACGTGGGTTTAGACAAATCGTACGAATTCGTACGAGTGAGGTCGTACGAATTTGTACGAATTAGCCACCTTTTAATCACTCGTACGAATTCGTACGAATTGGTGGTGAGATAGCGTTGGTATTTAAACCACTTTCTCACAACATGTCCCACAATGATTATGTATTATGTCAATATGTGGTATTTATTGGCTTATCATATGCAGATTCGACCACTTGAACGTCTACACTAGGAAAGCAATCCGGTTTACTGCGTTTTCTACTTCTGAAAGCGGTCAAGCTCAAAACGTTTAGACCCTATTTACACTTGTATTTAGTATCTTCAACTTGTGATCGGATCGACGAAAACGCATCTTAATGCTAGGTGTAAACAGGACCAGAGTGACACTGAATGAAGGATCATGTTTGTGAGTGAAATGAATGAACTGGGAGGTGATAAAATGGAGGATAAACTATACACCGATATAACAAGATAAAACAAGGGGCAATGAGTGAATCAGTGAACAGTGTATGAATATTTTTAGTAAATTGATTGAAATCACTGAGATTAATTAAAATCCCTAACACTACTCCATTAGTAGGGAAATATTCATTAAAATGTTTTCATGTTTTTTTACCTTAAAATGTTTAGGTAGAAAGCACATTAGAGCTACTGTACAGACAAACAAGTGACAAAAGAACAGCAGCACACACATCTATTCCAGTACGGACACAGAAATACACAGATACACCAACGAGAGAGAGAGAGAGAGAGTTACATCCCTTGTTGTCACTAAGTTGTTATCAGTTTAAATATACGACAGCCACAAAGCAAGGCCAGGCAGAAAGCAGATCAGCGCGATGATGCTCACATTGATTTGTCTGTAGAAGGGCTTTAAGTAAAGGCTGTTAAACAATAGAGCTGGGGGCTTTTAATCACAACCGTAAAGGCTTCGAGTGTAAGTGCTGTTTGTTTCTAATAGGCCTCGATCTCACGCCTGTCACAGGAGCGAGGAGGAGGAGCTACAAACACTTCTCGCTCTTTTTGTCCCTCAATAATGGTTGAACAACCATTACATTTACAGAGTGTCAGTCTGTCAGTCAGAGCCTAAGAAACCGTGAGACTGTCAAATTGCAATGTGTCATTTTCGAGGAGACGGGAGAGAGAGAGCGTACATTCGATTGCTGTCATTTGTAATTCTGACCATGCAAACACACACACACACACACACTTCACACATTCACACAGACACATCATCCCAGCTGTCAAAATCTGTCTGTGTGTTTTCCGCAACATCAGCAGAACGCAGTCGACAAACAGTGTCTGGAGAAGCTCTGAAAACTCTCGATTTCTCTCAGTCATGCTCCAGCAGGTCCACTAACTGCCACTCTTTTCTTCTCCTTTCAGAACGCCCAGTTATAATTACGCCCCTAATCCAGACAAACACTGGATTATGCGTTACACCGGCTCCATGAAGCCCATTCACATGGAGTTCACCAACATGCTGCAGCGCAAGAGACTGCAAACGCTGCTGTCCGTGGACGATAGTGTGGAGAAGGTACATGGTATAGATTATAATATAATATAATATTTATGAACCATCCTTACCCCTAAAATAAAAGAGCATTTTTAGAATGGGTACAAACTTCATTCCTTAGGCAAAACTATGGCAGTACCATTGTACATTTATGGTATCAGATTGCATTTCTATGGTAGTTCTATGGATAACGTACCGAATAATTCTAATATTCTAAAAATAATTCAAAGCTTATGTTTCAATTGTACATTATGGTACTCCAAAGTTGATCAAAACATACATTTTAGTGTTATTTTAGTACTCTTTATATAATATTATGCTATCTGTTAATGTTTAGCTTTTATTTTTATATGTTAAGTTTAGATTTAATGTTGATTTTACTTTAAGTTTAAGTATTTTTATGTTTTAATGTTTTTTTTTTAAAGTACCTTTATTTATTTATTTTATTGAAGCTTTATTTCATACATTTATTTGAACAAAAATCATTTTTAATTGTTTTACTTTTAGTTAACACAAATTAGAATGGTGCATCTCACAAAACAATATTTAAAAAAGGGTTTTGTAAATTTACAGTTTTCCCAGGAAAAATAATTTTTTTGCGAGCCATGACAGTGCATAATATTATATTACATTCAAATTCTGTATGTTTTGTCTCGCATTTCTCCAAAATGCAACCCCAAAATGATCTATAATTTATTCTACCACTGTCATGTTTCTTTTGTTTGAATATAGATATACAACATGTTGGTGGACACTGGGGAGCTGGACAACACGTATGTAATCTACACGGCTGACCACGGGTACCACATCGGTCAGTTCGGACTGGTCAAGGGGAAATCCATGCCCTACGAGTTTGACATCAGAGTTCCCTTTTACATCCGCGGCCCAAATGTGGAGGCAGGAGGCATGTAAGTGTTTGAGTTGTGTATGTGATGGTGCTGTCCAAGAGAGCAGAACCTGGTTTCACCAAGTGTGACGTGTTCCTGGATCTACATCTTTGTTGATCCTGGAACAACAGTCCAATCAGCCAATCAGATTTTCAGGGACAAGTTTACAGTTTATGTCAAGTTTAGGCTTACATCCAGGGCTAGATGCTTCTACATCAGTGTTATTCACCTATCATTTCCCTCTGATTTTAGGGATAAGTTAGGGTAGGGTTAGGTTTAGGGGTAGGAATAGGGTTAAGACTACATTTTCGGACAAGAGTGTTGTTCCATATAACATCCAAGAGACATGCTAAATACATTGCTCACAAAAAAATGTGTCAAATATATATGTGGATATATTAGACAACATAACATTTTTCTAGTGTCCTGACTGATTTGCTGAAAGCTTTGCAGAGACTTTAGCTTGTTCTTAAAGCTTTTTACACGGTTGGCTTATTTTCATTGCACTGCATTGCAGAAAGGCTCTTAAAATATAACGATTATTTCCCAAAAGTATATATTTTTACTTTTTTATGCAAATAATTAGGTAGCATATACTTTAGTATATGATTTATGTCTATAGCAATTGCTCTTTGTTTAATGTTTTTGTACAGGGGCTAATGTTACTTTTTAATGAGGTCTGAACTGTGCTTCTTGATTTATGGGCTTTTAATGACTTTCCAATGCCCTGCCACATATAGAGAGGGGGAATGAGATCAGCACTTGTTGCAGGCCATATTTGAACCTGCATCCCCAAGGGTGCACCAGACCAGACCTCTTTTTAAATGTTGAAAACTCAATCTCTCTTTCTCTCGCAAGTGTTTAATATGGTATTCTTGTTGCACTGCTGTGTGATCTGGCTTCTCTCCTTCTCAGAAAAGCTGATTAGCAGCAGTAAAGTCCACTCATGTGAAGACCACAAGACTTTATACTGTGAAAGAAAGACAGAAAAGAGGATAAAGTGTTTGGCAAGAGACTCCGGGTGAGAGAGGCACAGCTGGGCTCAGTTCAACATCAGATGAGCCTTTAGGCAATAAAATTAGAGCCAGATGAGGCTAATTTACTTTTTGAAAACTTTGAACGGATATGATTGGATTAATCGCCACTGAGTTTCATTCCATTGACTTCACAGGATTTGAAACGATCAAGTGAAATCAGTTTTGAATGATTTTTTTTTAATCAAAATTAAAAGCCTCGGTAGGTCTAAATCACATTGAGGGTGTTTGGGTTTGATGTTTACTTCTGTGTCAGAGAGTGAAAATGTTTAATATATCAGGCAAAGAGGCGAGCTCTATATCTGTTAGTTCACAGTGGTTCTCAAAGAGGGAAGATGGTTTTTAGTTATTTAAAATAAGACAAACCAAGCTATAAAATAAACTAAAACAGCTAAAAATGAGGATGTAAGATGATATTTCTTATTTTAATTAGTTCCCTCGACTGTCATTTTTGTTTAATAACCAGAATCCTTTAAAAACCTGGATATTTGAGAGAATTTTAAAAGTGTGATGTACTATAGACCTGGAAAAGTCATGGATATTAATAAAATCCTTATAATCCAAGAACATTTCTATAAAGAATGTACATTACTCTAGTTTTTACTCCAATATTTTATCCAGTAGATTAATATTTGTGAGATAAAAATAATTTTAAAAACCTTAATCACAAAGTGGAGAAGCCATTTAGATTCAATTATGAACCCTGAATAACTTTCAGTTCTTGGATCTTCTGAATTGCCGAATTTAATTATTGAAATTTTATTGTAATTTAATATAATTTGTTATAATTATTTTCTAAAATTATTTGAACATATTGACACTCCTAGTTTCTGTAAGTAAAAAAAGTAGCACCACAGCACAAATACCAGAACATATATTTAGGGCCTTTGAATATTGTCTTGGTCAATGAGGGGTCTCGTTTGGAGTCAAAATGTTTGAGAACCACTGTGTTATCATTCACATTTATATCAATGACAGTTGCTTGAAAGGCGAGTGCAGCCCTGTAAGTGTGTGTGCTGCAGGCTGCCATCACATCTGATTTCCCAATACTTCAGTGGGTATTCAACCATCTTATGTGACATCCTAAATCCTATGAGCCGTATATGTTCAGTCTGAATAACACTGCAAACGACATAGGGAATAAGTGAACATCAATGTATAGTGGGGAAAATTGACCCACTTGGCATTGCATACCACCTCAGTGGATCATGAAATTTCAAACAAAAAGTATATTGTTGTATAATGCATACTGTTTCACATACTACTATTAAAAATAGTAAAGAGAATGCAGTGTGTATTCTGTATTAAATAGAGTATTCAGTAGTAGAGGCTGAATTCCAAGCCCTGGATCTCTCTATTTCTCTCACTGTCCTTATCTTATTATCAGTCAGTGTTCATGTGCCGGTTTCTGACCATTATGTCAAATGGCGACCCCCTCTTCTGTTTCCATAGCAACCCACACATCGTGTTGAACATAGACTTGGCCCCCACCATCCTGGATATTGCAGGGATGGATGTTCCACCAGACATGGATGGCAAATCCGTCCTCAAGCTCCTGGACACAGACCGTGTCATGAACAGGTGAGATTGTCTCCTGAAGTGTGTCATAAAAAAAAAAGTTGAGTATTTCCTACACTGAGTGGGCAATAATATAGAGTGGTACTTAATTTTTTTCACCTGACTGAATTGTAGAAAGTGGAAGTACTGTATGAGTTTATTGGTCAGTTGTTATTGTGTCTTAGGTTACATTAGCTGAATAGAAAAGTCAGATCAGTTGGTACATTTTGAGCAGTGTTGGGGGTAATGCATTACAAGTAACGTGAGTTTTGTAATCAATTACTTTTTTTCCAGTTACTAATAATAATAATAAAACACTTCATTTATTTATTTGGATTGTGAAGAGCTCAATCTGCGATTTGAGAAATAGGAGTTTAACAATTTAGATAAATAATGTGAAGCCAAGCCGTGCAATGCTTTATATGTCAGCATTATAATTCTAAAATCAACACGAAACCTGACCGGGAGCCAGAGTAAGGACTCCAAAACTGGAGTAATATGATTGCATATCCTGGAACCAGTCAAGAACCTTTCTTCAAGAAACTCCAGCTAAACGGGCATTGCAGTTATCTGTCCGAGAGACAACGAATGAGTTTTCACCTTTTCAGCTACAGAGAAATTTAGCATAGGACGCAATCGTGCTATATTACTGAGGTGAAAAAAAGGATGTTTTAACTGTACTATGAACAAAAGAATCAAATAAAAGTCTAGCATCAAATATAACTCCAAGGTTCCTCTCTTCAAAACAGAGCCATCAATAGTCAAAGACAGTGTACCAGCTTTGGAAATTTGATGAAGGGAACCAATGAGCATGAGACACAAGAAATTATTACTCATCCACGTTTTTATCTCAGAAATACAGCCAGAGAGAATCCACCAGATTTTGATTGTATATCAGCAAATGACAAATGATGTGGTGACAGATAAATCTTAAAGAGTAAAGGGCCCAAGACTGAGCCCTGGGGAACACCAGTGAAAACAGAGCTAATCTCAAACCTGTAACCACTCATAGAAACGAACTGAGAACGGTCAGTAAAATAAGATTTAAACCACTTCAACGCTAGTTACTTTGTTTTCTCATTTATTGACTGACAGCTCTCCTGTCCCCATGTTGAGAGAAATGAGGAATAAGTGCAGAGGCGTTGTGTGTGCTGTCCGAACATGATGGTTATTGTAGTTTTAGAATAAATGTGAGCAGACTTTTACTCATCTCACTTGCAGTGCAAACTCTCAGACTATTACACAAACCTGCAATAATTAAATGTTAAAGAACACAAATACTCTTTGTGTATTAAATCTTATTATCCAATGTCTTTCCTGCTGACCTTTGATGACCCAAGTTAACCACACAAATAAACAAAAATTACTTTAGTTAAACATAACATTTGTAGTAACTAACACATTACTTTTAAAAGTAACTTTCCTCAACACTGATTTTGAAGTAAATACATGTATATTAAAACATGAACTGATGAACTGCGCACAGTAAGGCCAGAGATATTTATTAAGAACTGTGGTATACACAGCCAATGTTATCTTTTTTAGTGGCCTTCAGAATCAACAGCACTACTTCGCTATATTACTTGATCCTATTTGTACTGCTGAGTTTCCTGAGGACAATGACACATTGCATTTAGCCTAATCCTGAGTCTGTCAGAGCTGCAGGAACAGCACCTCGCCTCACTTCATTGTCATTGAGTGGCAGCAGATGGCAGTCTGCCAGGCGTCCTACTGGCACAGAGCCCCTCATCACCATGACACCTGCTGAAATCTCATCTCTGCACTCTTCCGCTAGCCTGCGTACCTCTTTTATTTTAGATGAGAGGAAGAGATGCATATCTCAGCAGGAGGTGGGGGGACAGGAAATAAGAAATCCGGAGGGAAGAGGGTCTTTCAGGAAAAATGACTGGCAGAGAGCTGAAGGGCTACATCTCTCAATCACCTCAGACACTAATTAAACAATTAGATCTTTATATTTCATCCGCTTCCACATGTTCTAGCTGGTTTTTAAGGCATCTCTAAGCAGTCGTTAGGGTCTCTGGGTCTCTTGCTTACTAGTAATCAAAAGAAACAAGATTTTCTTGTCCAAAATATGTCTAAAAATTAGCAATATGACTAAAACATCTCCACAATCGGCCTTTACTGAGAGATTGTTAGTATCGTGCTACAGTGCACATTCTATCAGTTCAATGGATGGTTTCAATTATTATTGTTTCTGATTACCATCTCTATCGTGGTTATGCTAATGTGACATTGATTTTCTGTATCATCACAACAGTTTTAAAGTCTTGCCAGTTTAAACTTTCAAACGATTTTACTCGAGCGCTGTTCCTCAACTAACAGGAAAGGTTCTTGGCAAGGTTCTCTCAAAGTTATGAATAAACATTATTCCAGTAATGCAAAGTAAACAGTTTTGAATGTGAAAATTGAATGCGCGTCAGTATGTCAGATCCACGCTTTAACTCTTAAAGTGACAGCAGCCTAATATACATGCAGAAAATCACTCACTGCTCTTGGCTGAAGAACCTTTGTAAGCTTTAATAAGAATCAATGCATATTTAATTCATACAGTGAAAACTATGAAGCGTTGAATTTTTTACATTTGATTATTCACTTTCCTACTTGAATGGCTAAATAGACCTTCAGTACCTGAAAAAAAAAAAGTGAAACGTTCCTTAAAAATGGTAGTTTTCAAAACCAACATGAATGCAAAGAATACATTTCTAAGAACTTGGCACATGAGTTTAAAACTTTCTTTTATTGTGGACACTAATACATCATTGACACAATAGAAAAACTTTCTTCAATAATCCCCATGATTTTAAAGTATAATTCGTCTGTTGTGCAAATGGCATGGGACAAAGTATGCATCATTTTAGGTTTGGGGTTTGTGTAATAATGCCGCCTTAGTACCACTAACAAGAGGAGTCTGAATAGGAGAAAAGGCCAGCCAGAACACTCTTAAATCTGTCCAAAACTCCTGCGGAGATCAGAGAGTGTGTGTGAGAGCACGGATCAATAGCTCATATCTGCAGAGAAGGTCGGGAGGTGCACAGGGCACCTCCATACATCCTTCTGTTTTTTATCAGGGACGGCATAGGGGAGAAAAAAAATGTAATCGCAGGCTGGATTTCTGTTTAAGCCGTTTGTAAAAAAAAAACAATGTAATAATAAATTCTGCTTTACTATTTTTTCATTCTTTTTTAATCCCAGGCTCAATTTGTCACGTTTAGTCATCATTCGAAAGCGCTGAGAGAAGGCCAATTTCTGGCCAATTTGCTGTTCCAGATGATCAGTAACAAAGCCGGTAAATCAATATTCACCTGTCTCTCCCAATTGCAGGTTCCAGCTCAACAAGAAGGGAAAAGTGTGGAGGGACTCGTTCCTGGTGGAGAGGGGGTGAGTCAGCACAAATGAAGTCTGAAAACAGCCTGAGAGCTCTGGGTTCTTGGTGTGAAAGGTCAACAAATGTTTATTCGGGTTTTTCTTCTCTGGTGACAGGAAACTGCTACATAAAATACTGAATGACGAGAAAGATATGGCCCAGGAGGAGAACTACCTGCCCAAATACCAGCGTGTTAAAGACCTGTGCCAGCGCGCAGAGTACCAGACGCCATGTGAACAGATCGGCCAGGTACAACAACATACACACAGGAGAATCTTTCTTTCCTTTTTATTTTTCCTGGCAATCTCGCACAATTAATATAAATATATATATATATATACACACCCATATATATATATATTTATATGCAGGATTACAACCCACTACCCCACAAAACCACGAGTCGAGTTCATGCTTAACGTTCATTTGTTGATACATGCGTTCATGGACCTACAGAATCATGTGACCGACAGGAGCAGATGTAGGAATGTTATCGAACGAAATATCGCAAGTAGCAGCTCAAAGCGCTAGTGAAATTGTTTCTGTAGATGATTTTTGCCTTTCAATTTTGTCTTGCAATCAATTTTGTCTTGGCCAAATGGGTGTCCTAAGCAGAATAGTATTGTTGTAAGAAAATAAATTGTAACTCTACAGCATAAAATACAAACTAAAATGATTTGTATTAAATAGAAACTAACAAATATTTTGCCAATTGAGTAATAAGTCGATTATTTTCACGATTAATCAAGTAATCGGATAATATTTTGATGGTAATAAAAATAGACTTAAGTGAACAATGACCAGTAAAATTACTTGAATACATCTAGAATAACAATGAGGCTTTAATAAATGGTTCAAAGAAAGTATCAAAAGCAAGTAGTTTTATGGTTTTATTGAACAACACATAATGTAATATACATAATATAAACAATCATCTTATGTACATTACGTATTATTACAAACATCGAGTATTATTACTCGACACGGGCTAATTGCAATCGAGGATTTTTCTTTTTAAAATTTAACATATAACATTTTTGAAATTGAGAAATCATGATAATCCTACCAATAGCTTTACTATGGCTCAAAATGCATGGTGCCCTACACAAACTGCGTACTCTGCATATGAGTGGCAGCTCTCTTTGAAAATGAGCAAAAACTCTATTGCTGACCTCAATATGTCACAAATACTCTTTAAAACACTAAAATCTCATGTTCAATCGTTTGTGCATAATCTGATAAATATTCATGAGCTATGGCTTCACCAGTTAATGGGCATCACCAAGCACGTCTGTGATTCACACAACTTCCCGCCGCCCAGAAAAAAATTATAATAATTTATTAATTATTATTACAAATATAGTAATTTTTTCATTATTAAAATACACACTTTTGCAGGGGGGGGGGTGCAGTGTTTCATAAAAAACTTTAAACCCATAATATTACCATGGCACCTGGTAATATTTGCATGCTTTTTGGCATATTTTGTCACTATAGACCCTCACACAATTACCAGTAGGTGTGTGTGTGTGTGTGTGTGTGAGCCGTCTGTTGAAACAGAAGTGTGAACAGAGAGATGTCTGGGCTGTCAGATCAGACACCTGAAATTTCATGCTCTCACTTTCAGTCTAACAAGACTGGCCCACTGTAGTCCTCCAGGGACCCGCAGCCCATTCCTGCATTATCTATCCTCTCCATCCAGTCCTCTTTTCTCCAGCTCTTTCTTTCTTTTTCATGTCAGTCAGGCATTATTTCTACATCTTCTTTTCAGTTTTGATCAAGACGTTTGTCTTTACGCACCTTCACAGTTTTTCAAAGCAAGACAAATTTGAGTTTCCAAAACAAGTAAAAGGGGAAATTGATAGTGTTGTTTACGTGCACATGCTTTCTGCATTGTTTTAGCTCCTGATTTACTTAGAATCAGGTAATTAAAGGTTAAAACTCATCTAATTTGCACGGCACAATTCCCAGCACAGATACAGTAGCACCTGGTACAGTTTGCTGGATTGGCCTTTATAAGTTCAAACCCACATTCTTTCATTTACCAGTCTTTTAAGTCAGCATGAAACAGAAGTTGCAATAGTCGTTTCTTCCCTATTGTTATTTATAATCAACTGAAATGTCAAAATGTAGGGCGGGGCTTGATTCTATCCATGGGAAGCTGATTGGATGTTGTGGTTTGCTATTGGTCGATCTCATGTGAGTGACAGGTGGTCGCCCCCGCCCTCACGCCAGGGACATCATTAAAGAAGAGACGAGATGAGCTGTAAGAGGGCATGCGAATTTAAAAAAGTAATAACGATCTGCACGGATAAATCATTTTTAATAAACACTGCTATATTCCATAACAAAAGAATTGTCACTTTTGGTTTCATGGGGACTTTAACCACAGGGCCATCTCTCTGATAGTGTGCGGCTCAGAGCGCGGCGTAACTTGGGTTCCTCTTTAACGAAGCTTTTAACGAGGTGGATATGAGATCATTTCAGCTGAGTAAGATTTCACACACTAGGCAAGGGGTTCATTTTCACCTTTTACTTCCAGTGTATAAGCACACACACACACACACACACTCGTCAAGGTGAAAAGTTAATCGGTTTTGATGGTGTCAAACAAGTTGTCTTTATGAGCAGACACTGTCAAATACAGTTCAATTACAGAGGAATGAGCTAAGATTATTTTATAAGAACATCGTTAATAGAGTCATATCAAGAGAGCTGGCTTGTTATATAAAAAATATGGTATGGTAATAGATAGCATTACTTTAATGTACCCTGGCATTTACACTACAATAAAAAAAAAAAACAAGTTTATCAAGGTATCGTTGCAACAAAAAAGGTATAGATGGTATTACCATGGTATCATGCCTAAACAGCAATGGGACTTTCTGTTATTGTACTGTTAGTGTATGGATCATCAGAGTAAGAATCCATGAAGATGTCTCTCTCTCTCTCTCTCTCTCTCTCTCTCTCTCTCTCTCTCTCTCTCTCTCTCTCTCTCTCTCTGCAGAAGTGGCAGTGTGTTGAAGACGCCACAGGGAAGCTGAGGTTGTCTAAATGCAAAGGCATGGCCAGTCTGTCTGCAGTGCGGAAGCCGTCTGTATCCAGCATCAAATCCCAGCTTTATCTTCAGAGCATGAGCGCTGATGTCAGCGTGAACTCTGAGCCTCAAGCCTGCAACTGTGAACCCAAAAGCTACAGCACCTTCTCCAAGAACAAACTCTTCTCCAAAAAGAGTGAGTACGGCGAGATATACTGCACAGCTACAGGCACACACAGCAACAAGTCCTCCACACACACACACACACACACACACACACACACACAAAAATCATTAGGGATGCATTCAGTCAATTATTCTTTGTGCCTCTGCTGCCCTCCAGTGGAGGTAAAACGTACACACAAAAGAAAAGACTTTAATGCAATATTAGGCCATATATAATTATGTAAAATGTATTATATATATGTTTTTTGTTTTTGTTTTTAAATTGTTCTTCTGATTGTTATTAGTATAATTATTATTATCATGATTACTCTACTTTGTTTACTAAATTTTCACTAAATTTAAGGAAATTTGCTCTTAACTTGCTACAAATACTAGTGACTGACATCTGTCAATCATCTCTTCATAGTTGTTCTAAATTTGTCAAATCTATCAGAAAGATTTATTTAGTATAGTAAACTTTCAATTACTGTTCAAAATATTAGTAGTAGTTGTTTAATTATAATAAATCATGTATTATTTTTATAAATATAATTATTGTGTTCAAATTATTTGAAAAATGTATTCATTGTTATTTCAAAAAATTATAATAATAATAATAATTAATAATGATTTATTTAATATTATTCTAATAATTTTATATATATATATATATATATATATATATATATATATATATATATATATATATATATATTAGGGCTGTCAGTTAAACGCGTTATTAACGGCGTTAACGCAAAACAATTTTAACGGCGTTAATTTTTTTATCGCGCGATTAACGGTCTTTATGGCCTAGCAAACTTTGTCGTTTTTTTTTTTCACATGCTTTTGCAACAGGACAGCATGCACGGCGCTGCGCTATGATGAAACCCATTCATTTCAATGGCTTGCGCCGCGCGAGGACGTTTTGAAAGCGCAAGCGGATCTAGCTAGATCGGAAACAAAACAACAGGCACGCCGCACACACTTGTTTGGGCTTGCGAGCCGGATGCGCGAGCGCGAATCTCTCTGCTCGCGCGCGGAATATAATGTGCCGAGCACGAATCTCTCTGCTCGAGTCGCGCGCTCTCAGAGACACGCTGCTCTTGTAAGAATTTTCTCTGGGCTCGCTCAGAGAATATGCCTGCACTTAAAAACGTGTTCAGTGCAATCGCGAATCTCTCCTCTTCCCCAGCTAACAATTTTAGGTTATAAGAACGTTTTCATAACGTTCCCATTAAGTTATAAAAACGTTATTTCTGAATGTTATAGGAACGTTCAAAACGTCCAGTTTTGAGTGGATGACGAGCGCGAGACGCCGAAATGGATGCCAATAAGATTCTGAATGGAAAGTTTACTTTTAAAAAGTTGCCAAATGGTTCCATTGACAAGACCAAAGTGATCTGTGTGTTTTGTCGTTGTGAACTGATCATCATCGCAGCACGTCCAGTCTGAAACACCACTTGATGATGGCCAGCACACACACACACACACACACAGCTGATGCGAATTCTCCGCCCCCTCGTCAATATCAGGACCTCGTCAGTATTTCTTTCACCCTTTTATTGATGGACAGTGTTACATTGTGTGAGAGATTATTTGCTCCAAGTGAGAATGTTTTAGTGTGAAATTGAACACAGTATATGTCAATGTTGTTTTCAATAAAAAAACATTTGCACAAAGCAAGCCGATCCACTTTTCCATGTTGATAAGAGCATTAAAATGAGAAAAAATAATGGGACAAAAAGAAATCAAGAGACATTTAGAATAGATAAAAATGTGTGATTAAATGCAGTTAATCGCGAGTTAACTATGACATTAATGCGATTAATCGCGATTAAATATTTTAATCGTTTGACAGCACTAATATATATATATATATATATATGTCTCTTCCGTTCACCAAGGCTGCATTAAATTGATCAAAAATACAGTAAGAACAATAATATAGTGACATTTTATTATAATTTAAAATAACGGTTTTCAGGAAATAACAAGAAAATGTACTTTTCTGGAATATTATATAATAATAATAATAATAATGTGAATAATGTTATTATCAGAATCACTTAATTTTTAATTTTGTGAAAAACACCATTACAATTTATAAAGTATTTTTCCTTTATTTTTTAATATATGTTAATAGATATAGATATCAGTGTGTGTGTGTGTGTGTGTGTGTGTGTGTATATATATATATATCAATGTTTACAATATATATATATATATATATATATATATATATTTATTTTGGCCCTGTTTTTGTCCTGGACAAGAGATAATGCGAAGCCCTGCGTTTGATTGACAGAACTGAAGTCAATGAAGAGCTACTCCAGGAACCGCTTTGCCCGTGCTGTTTCCATGGAGATGGGAGGAGACCTGTACGCAGTGGACCTGGATCATGAGCACAGACCCGCGGGCCCCAGGAACCTCAGCCTCCAGCAGAACACAGCGGATGAGGACGAGTTCAGCGGGATGGGACCCACTGCAGTCGGCCAGACCAGCAACAGCCTGACTGTGCCCTCCTCCATTAAAGTCACTCACAGGTGTGTGCTTCACGAGAGACACATGACCGAGACAAGAGGGACTGTAGTGTACTGAGAATATGTGTGTGTGTGTGTGTGTGTGTGTGTGTGTGTGTGTGTGTGTGTGTGTGTGTGTGTGTGTGTGTGTGTGTGTGTGTGTGTGTGTGTTTCAGATGTGCCATTTTGGCCAATGATACAGTGAAATGTGACGGTGGTCTGTACAAATCACTGCAAGCGTGGAAGGACCACAAGCTCCACATCGACCATGAAGTAAGACACACGCTGACACACTTCTGTCAACATGCTGCTCCAAAAGGGGACGTTTAGCAGAATGTTCACGTTGCTTTTTTCCATAGGATAAATATATGAACGATGACCAGCTGCAAGCTCAAAAAAATTACTTTTACATTTGAATGAAAAAAAAAAACGAAAAATCATCAATAAAACTTCATAAAAGTTACTCATGTATCACAATGATACTTACAACATTAATATATGTACACTGTCATCTCTTTCCCAGATCGAAACACTCCAGACCAAGATTAAAAACCTGCGTGAGGTCAGAGGTCACCTGAAAAAAGCACGACCTGAAGAGTGTGACTGCAACAAATACTAGTGAGAGTGACATCTGTCAATCATCTCTGCATCACTGATGGACCGTTTTTGTCAATATTTTTATGTCTACTGTTTACTTAGATAATTTTTTTAATAAGTATTAATTAAATTAAAATTAATTACAATGGAAACCTCCATTGTCGAAGCGGCTGCTCGGAGCTGTGGCCGTAAGGTCTCCGGTGCCTGTCGAGGCGGCAATCCCCGAACCCTGGGGTGGACACTGGAAGTAAAGGATGTCGTCAAGCTGAAGAAGGAGTCCTATCGGGCCTGGTTGGCTTGTGGGACTCCTGGGGCAGCTGACAGGAACCGGCAGGCCAAGCGGACTGCAGCCCGGGTGGTTGTGGAGGCAAAAACTCGGGCCTGGGAGGAGTTCGGTGAGGCCATGGAGAAGGACTATCGACTGGCCTCGAAGAGATTCTGGCAAACTGTCCGGCGCCTCAGGAGAGGGAAACAGTGCCCTACCAACGCTGTTTACAGTGGAGGTGGGCGGCTGTTGACCTCAACTGGGGATGTCGTCGGACGGTGGAAGGAATACTTCGAGGATCTCCTCAATCCCGCCGTCACGTCTTCTATTGAGGAAGCAGAGGCTGAGGGCTCAGAGGTGGACTCGTCCATCACCCTAGCTGAAGTCACCGAGGTAGTCAAGAAACTCCTCGGTGGCAAGGCACCGGGGGTGGATGAGATCCGCCCTGAGTACCTCAAGTCTCTGGATGTTGTGGGGCTGTCTTGGCTGACACGCCTCTGCAGCATCGCGTGGCGGTCGGGGACAGTGCCTCTGGGATGGCAGACCGGGGTGGTGGTCCCCCTTTTTAAGAAGGGGGACCGGAGGGTGTGTTCCAACTACAGGGGGATCACACTTCTCAGCCTCCCTGGGAAAGTCTATGCCAGGGTACTGGAGAGGAGAATACGGCCGATAGTGGAACCTCGGATTCAGGAGGAACAGTGCGGTTTTCGTCCAGGCAGTGGAACACTGGACCAGCTCTATACCCTCTACAGGGTGCTGGAGGGTTCATGGGAGTTTGCCCAACCAGTCCACATGTGCTTTGTGGATTTGGAGAAGGCATTCGACTGTGTCCCCCGAGGCGGCCTGTGGAGGGTGCTCCGAGAGTATGGGGTCCCGGGTCCTTTGCTAAGGGCTGTCCGGTCCCTGTATGACCGGAGCAGGAGCTTGGTTCGCATTGCCGGTAGTAAGTCAGACTTCTTCCCGGTGCATGTTGGACTCCGGCAGGGCTGCCCTTTGTCGCCGGTTCTGTTCATAATTTTTATGGACAGAATTTCTAGGCGCAGCCAGGGGCCGGAGGGTGTCAGGTTTGGGGACCATGCGATTTTGTCTCTGCTTTTTGCGGATGATGTTGTCGTGTTGGCCCCTTCACACCAGGACCTTCAGCATGCACTGGGACGGTTTGCAGCCGAGTGTGAAGCGGCTGGGATGAGAATCAGCACCTCCAAATCTGAGGCCATGGTCCTCAGTCGGAAAAGGGTGGCTTGCCCACTTCAGGTTGGTGGAGAGATCCTTCCTCAAGTCGAGGAGTTTAAGTATCTTGGGGTCTTGTTCACGAGTGAGGGAAGGATGGAACGGGAGATTGACAGACGGATCGGTGCAGCTTCTGCAGTAATGCGGTCGATGTACCGGTCTGTTGTGGTGAAGAAAGAGCTGAGCCGTAAGGCAAAGCTCTCGATTTACCGGTCAATCTACGTTCCTACTCTCACCTATGGTCATGAGCTTTGGGTCATGACCGAAAGGACAAGATCCCGGATACAGGCGGCCGAAATGAGCTTTCTCCGCAGGGTGGCTGGGCGATCCCTTAGAGATAGGGTGAGAAGCTGGGTCACTCGGGAGGAGCTCAGAGTAGAGCCGCTGCTTCTCCACATCGAGAGGGCTCAGCTGAGGTGGCTCGGGCATCTGTTTCGGATGCCTCCTGAACGCCTTCCCGGGGAGGTGTTCCGGGCACGTCCCACTGGGAGGAGACCCCGGGGAAGACCTAGGACACGCTGGAGAGACTATGTCTCCCGGCTGGCCTGGGAACGCCTCGGTGTCCCCCCGGAAGAGCTGGAGGAAGTGTCTAGGGAGAGGGAAGTCTGGGCATCTCTGCTTAGACTGCTGCCCCCGCGACCCGGCCCCGGATAAGCGGAAGAAGATGGATGGATGGATAAATGATATACAAATTTATTTAATTATTATTAATGATTAAATCATTTATTATGAATAATTTTACATTTTGTTTATATGTTTTTTACATACATGTATACAATAAATAAAATACATAATTAAATAAATATAAATAACTAATTTTAATATTTTAACGTTAATAATTAAAATATAGTTGATACGTAATAAAATATGTTTGATACAATTGTATTAAAATATGCTTAATAAATTGTTATTATATTTTTCTTCTCTTTAAGTTACAAATCAAAGTACAAGAGTAAACTGAGGAAATACAAAGCAGGAGGCGTCCATCCGTTCAGGTGGGTTCCTGTGTCTACTGTATGTAGAGTGTGTGTGAATGCATATGAGTTGATTATGGTTTTGATTGTTCTCTCGTCCTCAGTAGGAAAGGAAAGGACAAGGATAAGAAGGCCTGGTTATTACTGGAGCAGAAGCGCAGGAAGAAGCTGAGGAAGTTACTGAAGCGTCTGCGCAACAATGACACCTGCAGCATGCCTGGCCTTACCTGCTTCACACACGACAACCAGCACTGGCAGACCGCTCCCTTCTGGACACGTAAGACACACACACACACACACGACAACCAGCACTGGCAGACCGCTCCCTTCTGGACACGTAAGACACACACACACACACACGACAACCAGCACTGGCAGACCGCTCCCTTCTGGACACGTAAGACACACACACACACACACACGACAACCAGCACTGGCAGACCGCTTCCTTCTGGACACGTAAGACACACACACACACACACACGACAACCAGCACTGGCAGACCGCTCCCTTCTGGACACGTAAGACACACACACACACACACGACAACCAGCACTGGCAGACCGCTCCCTTCTGGACACGTAAGACACACACACACACACACGACAACCAGCACTGGCAGACCGCTCCCTTCTGGACACGTAAGACACACACACACACACACACGACAACCAGCACTGGCAGACCGCTTCCTTCTGGACACGTAAGACACACACACACACACAACAACCAGCACTGGCAGACCGCTCCCTTCTGGACACGTAAGACACACACACACACACACACGACAACCAGCACTGGCAGACCGCTCCCTTCTGGACACGTAAGACACACACACACACACGACAACCAGCACTGACAGACCGCTCCCTTCTGGACACGTAAGACACACACACACACACGACAACCAGCACGGTAACACTTTATTTTAAGGTGCTTGTAATAAGCAGTAATTAACAGTTAATAAGACACTTATAAGACCTTATAAGAAGCATATAAGATGAATATAAGCATTAACTACTTCATATAAGGGTTAATTAAAGGTCCAGGCCCTGAAGAGATCAGGGAAACTACTCCCTCTTGGGAAGGTCAATTTTTAAGTGACTGGGAGTTTGTGTTACCATTTATGTTTGTTCGGCTGTTCTAAAAGTGCAATGTATTGATACTTGAGAAATGTATTATTTAATTTAATTTATTTATTATCATTAGTTAATGCTTATATGCATCTTATATGCTTCTTATAAGGTCTTATAAGTGTCTTATTAACTGTTAATTACTGCTTATTACAAGCACCTTAAAATAAAGTGTTACCGACTTTGTTTATGGTTTTTATGTTTTTTTTACGAGGAATTTATTCGATAAATATGTTTCCATTTCAGTTTATGCACATGTTTTCTTATCGGATAAAAAAATTATCCTCCTCAATTGAATTTGTGCACATCTTGGCATTTCCATCCAGCGTTTTTTATCTAAAATCCCAAAATGCTCATAAAATAGGTGGATGGACAGTTAATGTCTGTAAGTTATGTCTGGATCAATATGCCCCTCTCTTTTGTGTCTTTTTGTTTTCAGTGGGGCCGTTTTGTGCGTGCACTAGTGCCAATAACAACACCTACTGGTGCATGAGGACCATTAATGAGACACACAACTTCCTGTTCTGTGAATTTGCCACTGGATTTCTGGAGTACTTTGATATCAACACAGATCCGTATCAGGTCAGTGGTCATATATAAAGACAACATGAAATCACCATGGACCGCGTTTATTCTTACTATTACTCAGTCAAACTATTACATGTAATTATGTATAATTTATTTTACACAATTCATCAGTGCATTATACTATATATATTTACAGTATATACGTATATACACTCACCTAAAGGATTATTAGGAACACCTGTTCAATTTCTCATTAATGCAATTATCTAATCAACCAATCACATGGCAGTTGCTTCAATGCATTTAGGGGTGTGGTCCTGGTCAAGACAATCTCCTGAACTCCAAACTGAATGTCAGAATGGGAAAGAAAGGTGATGTAAGCAATTTTGAGCGTGGCATGGTTGTTGGTGCCAGACGGGCCGGTCTAAGTATTTCACAATCTGCTCAGTTACTGGGATTTTCACGCACAACCATTTCTAGGGTTTACAAAGAATGGTGTGAAAAGGGAAAAACATCCCGTATGCGGCAGTCCTGTGGGCGAAAATGCCTTGTTGATGCTAGAGGTCAGAGGAGAATGGGCCGACTGATTCAAGCTGATAGAAGAGCAACTTTGACTGAAATAACCACTCGTTACAACCGAGGTATGCAGCAAAGCATTTGTGAAGCCACAACACGCACAACCTTGAGGCGGATGGGCTACAACAGCAGAAGACCCCACCAGGTACCACTCATCTCCACTACAAATAGGAAAAAGAGGCTACAATTTGCAAGAGCTCACCAAAATTGGACAGTTGAAGACTGGAAAAATGTTGCCTGGTCTGATGAGTCTCGATTTCTGTTGAGACATTCAGATGGTAGAGTCAGAATTTGGCGTAAACAGAATGAGAACATGGATCCATCATGCCTTTGCTACCACTGTGCAGGCTGGTGGTGGTGGTGTAATGGTGTGGGGGATGTTTTCTTGGCACACTTTAGGCCCCTTAGTGCCAATTGGGCATCGTTTAAATGCAACGGCCTACCTGAGCATTGTTTCTGACCATGTCCATCCCTTTATGGCCACCATGTACCCATCCTCTGATGGCTAGTTCCAGCAGGATAATGCACCATGTCACAAAGCTCGAATCATTTCAAATTGGTTTCTTGAACATGACAATGAGTTCACTGTACTAAAATGGCCCCCACAGTCACCAGATCTCAACCCAATTGAGCATCTTTGGGATGTGGTGGAACGGGAGCTTCGTGCCCTGGATGTCCATCCCACAAATCTCCATCAACTGCAAGATGCTATCCTATCAATATGGGCCAACATTTCTAAAGAATGCTCTCAGCACCTTGTTGAATCAATGCCACGTAGAATTAAGGCGGTTCTGGAAGCGAAAGGGGGTCAAACACAGTATTAGTATGGTGTTCCTAATAATCCTTTAGGTGAGTGTATATATATATATACTGTATATATATATATATATATATACTGTATATTAGGGGTGTAACGATACACGTATTCGTATTGAACCGTTCGGTACGAGGCTTTCGGTTTGGTTTTCGGTACGCATTTTTAAACCGAACGGTTCGTTGGACCATTTTTCCTACCGACCAAAATTTCGTTATTTCAAATGTAGGCGCGTCACGCGTGGCAAGTGCACTCATATTGTAAGAGACGCTGGCGTGACCACAACATTGCCCAACATCAAATGGCAAATGTAATGTAAGCGGAATGAAACTGAGCCCCTCGTTATTGTGTGGTTGACGGACCGTTTATCAGTTTGGACCAATGCAGCGCGAGCCGATCTTAATCATCAGCACTGTTACTACACAGCCAAATCCAGTAAAGAAAACATTTGGATTCGCCTCTGAAGTAATAACATCGCTGAGAGATATAGTGAGAAACATTCACATTTCTCCGTTATTAACGGAGAATAGCGCTGACGTGGAAAACAGGAAGAAACATTGTGCCATGAATGAACTATCCAGTGTCCACAGATCTGCAACATTCACCATGGACATGCACACTACTAACTGTAACCATGGACGTTTGGCAGGAATAGTAGGCTGTAATGGTTTCAGGTAACATCACGTCGGTTTTATTTTGACATTATGAATACAATTGGTGCCCTCAAATGTTAATCTGAACTAAAATAAACCTTTGTTTATAACTACAATATTACATTTCATTTTGTCCAAGGAGCTGTTTTGTTTGTCAAGTATAGCTCCATCATTGCTTTAAGTTAAAAAATATCATACTTTATGATGTTAGTTTTAATAAAAATACAATTAAAAAAATTAAATCAAGGAAATTTCTCTGGCATTTCTTTCTTTTTGCTGTATCGGAAACGTACCAAACCGTACCGAACCGAACCGTGAATTTTGTGAACCATTACACCCCTACTGTATATATATATATATAAAGCTACATAACCTAATTTCAGTGTGACGAAAATGACACCAAATCTTGAAATTGTTATGGAAGTTCAGTTTTGAGGTAATATAATTTTATATTGTGAAAATATTTAGTCAAAAATGTTATCAGAAAGGAATAAACATTATGAATTGCTGTGATGGTGCATCTCTCTCTGCATGTGTGTGTAGTTGGTGAATGCGGTGAACACACTGGACCGGTATGTTCTCAATCAACTGCATGTGCAGCTCATGGAGCTCAGAGGCTGTAAGGGACACAAGCAGTGTAACCCTCGCACACGCAGCCTCGACATGGGTGAGTCACACACACTCGTATAACACACACACACTTATACTTATGCAAAGACAGGTGCTAGGCATCCGGCCCGGAGGTTGCGACACACTGACTGATACGTGTGACTGATACACACACACACACACACACACAAGGCAACGGGTGACATGGAATATCGCATCTTCATCTTCATCATCCTCACCTGATCCCTGGCCCTGCCTTGCTTCCTGTTTTCTCCTTGTTTTTATATGCAAACAGAAACTCTTAGCATCACCTCCTGAGCTGCTGTCCTGAAGGGTGATCATGATGTGCCACAGCATGCTGTCTGAGGGTGTTACCATGTCTTTAGTAGTCCCTGCTCTCAAAACTTGAAATTCATTTTCAGCAGAAGTGATCATTCCACTGATAAAACCAGATTTATTTTATTTACCAAATGAACTCAAGGACAGCTCATGTCATGTTAAAACTCGCCAGTGCTTGCGATCGGATTAAATATGTCGAAAGGTCACATTAAAATACAAGAGTAGAGTAAAAATAGAGTGATTTATATTGGCATAGAACTTCTTTTCAGGTTGGAAAGGAAATAATTCATTTTTTGATTATTTTTAAATACATTTCGTTCCAAAGTTTGGGTTCGCTAAGATTTTTTTTAACACTTTTCTATTTTAAAATATTTTACAATGTAATTTATTCCTTTAATGCGAATGCTGAATTTCTTATTAAAAACAAAAAACTTATTGACCCCAAATGTTTGCGTTATGCAACCTGTCCACGTTTGCATCTGCATAATTTGGTACGCTGACAGATACATTTGTAGATTTTTTTTGAACACTTGACCTTTGACATCAGCATTGCCTTTTCTTCCTTTTAAAGAGATAGTTCACCCAAAAAATTGAAAATTATGTCATTAATGACTCATGTCGTCCCAAGCCCGTAAGACCTCCGTTCATCTTCGGAACACAGTTTAAGATATTTTAGATTTAGTCCGAGAGGTTTCTGTCCTCCATTGAAAATGTATGTACGGTATACTGTCCTTGTCCAGAAAGGAAATAAAGACATCATCAAAGTAGTCCATGTGACACCAGTGGGATAGTTAGAATGTTATGAAGCATTGGAAATACATTTTAGTCCAAAAATAACAAAAACAACTGTATTCAGCATTGTATTGTCTTCCGGTTCTGTTGTGGGCCGTGAGATTTCACGTAGTGAAACTGCGCAAAGCTTCTGTGTTGCACGTCACACGTAGGCTCACTATTGGCCGACGCTGGTCATGTGTGTGATGCGTGTGACGTACAACCTAGAAGCTTTGCGCAGTATCGTCTATTCCTGCTGTCCTGTTTCTTTTAACAGACCGGTCTGAGAACCGCTGTTTTACAGAACAGATAAAGTCAGTTGAGTATTTTATTATGTGTAAAAATCATTTGAAAGGGATCGGAACAGCTCAAAATGAACAATAACACTCCGCATCTGCATATTGAGCCTGCAGATGCATTATTTTCCAAAAGATTACTTTTATCCGGTTCGTTTCTTCAAGCTCAATTCGCCTGACCCTTGAGACTTCATTCATAACAACGAAAGATCTTATTTTGGCAATGCGACCTTCCACATGACCCTTGGACAGAAGCCCAGTAATGCTTTCCTGAGGATCTTAAACATGATGGGGTTGTACATCACATTGTTTTTACACTCTCTAACTAATGATATTGTCTCTTCTTCAGGGGGTAAAGAGAGAAGCAGCTATGATGAATACAGGTATCACTGCCAAATGAATTTAACCCCATTTTAGACTAGAAGCCTTTACTGTGAGATTATTTTGGATGAAGATACTAATCCACTTCTGCAGTTCTGTTGTAGACAGCTTGAAGCTTAAACGTGAATGTTGAAGTAGTCTGATGCACAATCACACACACACACCTAAAGGCATCGTAGGAATTCACTCCTCAATGTGAAAGCAAGGAGAAGACCTCTGTCACAAAGGAAGATGGAGAAACTTGAACTGATTTGATGTCAGTTTGCTGTTAAAAGCTCCACTGTAGAAAACAATCTTAACTTATTCTTCAGTTTGTAGAAACAAAACCGATTGTGTACAGTAATGCACTTGCAATGGAAGTCTAGGAGTTTAAAACAAAAATGGGCAGCTTGTATTTTTAAAAGATATGATTCTTCTCTACAAAAATGTGTGGGATTGAGCTGGAAAGCTGTCTAAAATGTCCTTTACTGGAATAAAAGCTAATATATAATACTATATAAAAGCTAAGTTTACTTCCTTGACATGTCAGATGTCTTCTCCTTTAGATTCTGTACTCTCTTTCTCTCTCTGTCTTTGTCTCTCTTGTTTTGTCTCCCTCTCTCTAGCCCTATACTGTGCCTTGCATGTATTCAGCCTTGGGTTTTGTTGTGTGTGTGTGTGTGTGAAAGCCTCTGAGTTCTCTGATTGGCTCTGTCTCTGTCACATGCTTGAGTTTGGGGGCGGGGTAACAGTTTGTCTTATCGTTGCTTGTCGCATTAGGCAGTTTCAGCGCCGGAAATGGCCTAAAGTGAGGAAGCCTGTCTCCAAATCGCTGTGAGTTTGGACAATAATTCTGCTTCTCGTCCGTAGGATACAATGCCACCAAGCCACTACTTTGAATCACCGTTCTCTCGCTCTCTCTCTTTAATTTCCTTTCTCTTGAATGCATTACGTTCTGCCTGGCCTGCATGATGGCTTGATTTAGTTTGTAGAGGCATGGAAACTGTTCAAAAGCACGAGGGAAGATTCCCTCCACATGCCCCCATCATCTTCACCTCATCTCACTCAATGCCTGAAACATTTACGTTCTTCCTGCCTTCACCATCCTTTTCAGGGTTTTTCGTTGTTTTGTTTTTTTCCTTTTCATTTAACATGAAATCCCAAGCATCCATCTCCATTTTGATGCATCCACTTGTAATCAGTGCCTTAAATCGTTTTGCCGCTGGACGCAAATGTTTAATAGTTGTGGCTGTGCTTGTGTGTGTGTGATGTTCCCCCACAGAGGACAGATTTGGGAAGGATGGGAAGGATAACTCATGGAACGAGGACGTCCCGGAAGACACCGACCTGTTTCCCGGCGAGTCTAACTGGTCCGAACTTGAACCTTTGTACAGACTTGATGAGCACGCCTACGATCTCAAACTCAACTTCACCCTCAGCCTCGAGGACTGGGCTCATTTCAGCCGCTCCGTGGAGCACATGTTCACGCTCCTCAGCAACGACAACCAGCCGTACTCTCCTCCCCGTCCCGAGGACAAACACACCGGGAGAGGCCACGCCCTGGTGTCCTCCAGCCAATCCGCTTCAGCCATCTACCTGACCACTCTGGCCACCCCCGCGCTTTTACTGAAGGAAGCTGGTGCTGAGGTTTTGAGGGATGCTTTTGGGCTGAACCAACAGGAACGTCCCTCTTCTTCTTCGTCTTCATCACGCCCCATGGACAAGGCGGGCTTGGACGCTCCTCTCGGAGAACTGAAAGGGGACGGCCTGAGAGAAGGGAGGGATGTCGATGAGGAGGAAGAGGAGGAGTTTGTTCAGAGACGGACAGGAAAGTTAAGCTCCACCCACTGCGACTGCAATGACATTTTGCAGGAAACGGTTTGACTCTCATGTAATGTTCCTCGCTCACACCGTCCCTCGTCAGAAAGACATCGCAAAATACTTCTAAATTTGAAGGAAGTGAAGAAAGAGGAGGGTTTATGCCAGCATACAGTCCTTCAGTTCATTTTTCTTCTCTCATATGTTCACTCGCTCAGAAGCGCGGCGACATTTCCACCTACAGACGGACCGTTTTCCCAACTTCTCCATAAGATAGGCTCGGCTTTGAACAGGTCTTTTAACTTAGAAAGATTCTTCACTGTTTTTATTCATTTACCTTTTCTTGAAGGGATTAGGGAAGGTTGGGGGTTAAAACTCAAAGCAGTAAAACTTGGGAATGGGAATGAGATGTTGTGTGCGTTCATACTTGATTCAGTTTGAAACCGGTTTTGCACCACAATCTTTGATGGCTGCTTCTCTCTTGCTTGGAGTCTCCAGAAGGTGTCTCACTTCGTGGGACATTGTCTTATACAGCCTTACAACTTCACTGAACATCACCTCAGATAGGTCAACAGCGAATGTGTGTGAGTGTGTGTGTGTGTGAACACGCTGTACCTAAGTCAAAAGTGAATACGAGTGTGATAAATTGAAGCTTTCTGATTTCATTTGTGGCTCCCAGTGTATGTTATAGCATTATTTTGTTTATGCTTAAAATTGGTTTGACAAGTTGAAATTTCTTACACAGTTTCTTTGCTGCTTATTGAGCATTATGAGTTGAACAAACTAACCACAAAAATAAATAAAAAATAATAATAAGAAAAAAGATAAATGATTCATTTGATGTATCGGTCATTATTTGTGTTTGACAAAAATAGTTTTTCCCCCATGCACAGTGAGAAAGAAATGTTGCCACGCCATATTTGTAACAGCTTGTTCTTAAACTTTTTGCTATACACAGTGCTACTAATATCTGAGCAAATATATGAAATGGATGTATGTATTTTAATGTGTGTTTGCAATGTAAATGGTTAAAGGATATTTTTACTACACATTTGAAGCGAAACTGACCGCCAGACATAAACAGACATCCCTCCAGCTCCAGGTTTTATTATTTATGCAGCATTTTTTTTAACAGGTCTTTAATACACATTCATTTTTTTTATGGTGATGTATCTGAGATTTTTTAAATTATTAATCCACCTTCCCGATGTGTTTCTTTCCTGTTTTGAGATCAGTTTGGCTCTTAGATTATTGTGATTGAGATTACAATGTTCAAGAGGGTAATCTGATCCCTGATCAGTGCACTTGCTCTTGGATACTTCATCAGTACAGGTCATTGTGTTCACATATTTCATATCAATGTACAACATCCACCCCTCACCTCTCGTGGCTGTACTTAAAGCTGTTTTGTCTGAGATTGTGTATGGTTGTTTCGAAAACCACCATAATTATTGTAAAGATGTACTGTGTAGATACTGGAGGATAGGAGACAACTTGGAGAGGAGGAGACATTTTCCTTTGGCACTTTCAAAGGGAGGGCTGTTTTTGAGATGGGAATTTAAAAGAGATGAGATGGTTTTAACAAAGTCTTGTACAGTTCTATAGATTTATCATACCTATATTTTTGTTTTGGTTTACCAGTGAACATTTGATAGTGCTCATTACTTTGTGAATAAAGTGTTGAATGCCCAAATTGCTTTCTATTGTTGTTGTTTTTTTCATAACCCAACATGTGGTATGATATCAAACAAAGGGATTGATAAATATATTTAAGTCAGTTAAATATATTTTAACATTATTATAGTAGAATACATAACTGCACAAGTTTATTATTATTATTATCATTATTATAAATCTTTGTCTGTAGGTTATGCCAGTAGTTACCAATATTTTGTGTATTATGAGTGAATCATTTTAAAGACATTGATTCATTCATAAACTCTACTCTAATCTATTTTCATTGATTTGCAAATACAGACAAAATAGCTGTCAATATTGTGTCTAAAGTGTAAGTATTGAACTTCTTAATGTCACCATAAAATTTAATTTATGGTGACAATTCTTATTTTTTAATGGAATATATAAATAATTATTGGGAGGGAGGGAGGGTGGGAAGATGGTACAACTGTTTTTTGGTTTGTAGCTGATTTGTCACAATGTCTCTCTGTGTTGGTACCATTGAATATAATAAAAGATGAGTAAAAAAAGAATATATAAATAATTATTAAAAATTATTTATCCGTGCTTATTACTATGAATAATATTTTTAATATAATTAATTAATTAATTTGCCCTTTCATCAAAATAACTTGATGATGACGTGTTTACTGGCACGAGGGCGGGGCAACCAACCTGTCACTCCCATGAGATCCAGCAATAGCAAACCACAAACATCCAATCAATTCCCCATGGACAAAATCAAGTATACCAGATAGGTATTCAGCAGTGGCAGTCTCAGGCTTTTTCATTTACAACAAAAGATTATTGCCTGAACAAAATATAACATTGTAGTATAACGATTAAGTTTACAGTGGCATCTTAAATTGATTAAAAACATTTTTTTTTAAACACATCTTTGTTTTTAATTTTCTAGTAGAGTTTTAAAAACAACTTTGCTGTATAATTGTGTAGTAATTAAAACTACACCGCCAATTGTTCCAATGAAAGTGACTTGAACGCACCTGACGTCGTAAACACGACAATCCCAACTCGGAAATACGAACTGAGGACTTGAACGCTACACAATAGAGAAGACTATCACAACTTCCGTTTCATGCTGACTTTTTACTGTTTCATTAATAAAAATAATGCCATGCTCGCAAATTATAACCGATATTATGAACAACACTCTTACTTATTACTTACTCACTTTTTATATCACTATTATAATAAATTAACAGCATCATCCTCTACAATTGAATAAAATGAACCTTCAACTACAGCATTACTGTAGGCCTACTGGAGATTCTGAACTAGCACCATACACGTAAAATTATATATTAAAAGACCAAAAACAAGCTTTTATTTCCATTTATTTTATATCAAAACATTAACATATTCGCCTAATCATAGAGTGTAAAAAAAAATAATTTTAGCAAGTGCTGCAAGTGCTTGTGCTGCCTCGACTCTCCACCAGATGGCGCCTCTGCTCTCCTCAAACGCGGAGCTCCACAGACTGTGTGAGCGATCATTCCGCTTCAGCGAAACTACAGCAGGCTGCAGTAGAGATCAGGTTACTCGAGCATGGCCCAAACTGAAGAGGGCGGGGGAATAACCCACTCCAATGTCTGCCCCAAACTCCAGTGGGACAGAAAGCCTGAAATCAACTTTCACAGGCTCAGTGCAGTGTGCTCAGTTTCTGCCAGAGGACACATCTCACTGCTTTCACTCCCATTCGTCCAAACAATGTGAGGAACATGGCTGACAGAAGGTAAGATGGATCATTTCGCTGAGTTGTGAATACATGTTGCAGTTGCACAGTGCAGTTCAGCCCTGTTTGCTGAGAGAGAACGGCGTGGATAACTTTGATATTTAAACAATGTTCATTTTAAACTGTGGGACAATACTGGGATGTAACTTCATCAGACGATACTGTTGCTGTATAGACAAGGTGTTATTCACGGGATGTGATGTTGCCACACAAGTGTGTGTATATGAGCAAGGTTCGCTAAAAGCTACTTTGAAACCAATTATGATGTTGTTCCCCGATTCTAAAGTGATTTAATTGATGTACAGTATTAACCAACTTAAGAACTCTTAGTGTCATCATTCCATAAAAAACTATACTTTGTTTTGTGTCCCTCGTGAACATGAAAACAATGACTTTACCAATGCAAAGCTGACAGCAACTTTTATTACAGTCCTAATGTGGGATTTTTGTTTACAAAAAAAAAAAAAGTTTTGTTTTATTCTTTCTCCATGTTGCTTTTTAGGCCTGTTCTTTCTGATTTGTCCTAGCACTTAATAGCGAATATGCTAATATTTTGATATAAAATATATGCAGCTTTTAATATATCATTTTACATTATAGTGAGCATAATATTGTATTAAAAAGACGTCAATTTGTGTCCCCATGTTAAGCATCAACCCTGTAATCATCATAATTAACTTGATTTACACGTCCATAGATGATAAAAATGTCACTGACATCATTCTTCAAGGACATGTAATTGACTTTTTGTTATTTTATCTTATATTTTGATTATCAGTAGGGGGTGATTTTTAAATACAATTTTTTGAAAACTGGATTTAAGTATTCTTAAACTGATATGTCAGCATTCAATTGCATATTATCAGCACAATACACACTTTGTACTGTCTGGACCTTGAGCAAGTTGCTAATAATGATCAATTAACTGTAAAACTGTCAACCCTGTTACCTTCTACCTTGTTACTTTAAAAAAAAACATTGATATTTGTCATCATTTTTATGTTTAAAATTAGCTTCAGATGGCACAATGCAATTTATTAACACTTAAAGTCATTGTTTGTCTGATTAAATACTTAAATGCTTAATGTGGATAAAATGTAAACACCTGAATTGGGGTGGAGGATACACGGTTAGTGCGCATTGTCACGAAAGCTTATCATTTGAATGTGTTTTTAAGCCTTGTGGTTTGAAAACGAGTGGTTTTAAACAGTTCAAGCACAATGAGCAGCGAAAGAGAACTTGTCTGAGAGCTGGTTCTTGAGCGCACGCGGCGGAAACACGCGCACATAAAGCCGCTGCTCATTCACGAGTACTGAAATGAGTTATTTTTGCCACCTTGAATGGTCAAATACTCACACTTACGTGGCAAAATGGCCATCTTTGCGAGTATCTTCGTAAACCTATAAATTATGTTTATTCTGTAAGATATAAAATGTATAAGACATAAAAAATTATGTCTTAAGTTAACGTAAACAGTTGAGAAAGAAAACCATAATAATAAGACTCATATTGTGATATAAGATTTGTCATATCGCCCAGCCCTAGACCTGAACTATATTTTGATAGGTGTTAGAATGTCAAAAAAGCCTCTGTGATCCATATTAGATGTGCAGACCAATGATGGATTGATTATTCAGGGCGATAGATGAACAGATGCGATGCGGGTCCGGTGTCGGCTTCCAGGTGTCAGCCTTAATGGAGTTAATAGGATGGATTTTGACATGTTTTATTAATCATGTTGCAATGCCATATCCCTTTGCGTTCTCAGAAGACCTCCTCTGAAGCCAGGACAAACACTGACAGCTTTTCTCAACTATTGAAATATTCACAAAGCCATATGGATGGAGTTACTATTAGTCTGGACTCTGGAGACTGAAAGTTTAATAATGTGTTCCAAATTCCCAATTGCTCGCACACTTAGTTGTCCATCCATCGACTAATTATGAATTAGCTAACTAAAGGATTATTTCAGCCAAAAATGAAAATTCTGTAATTATTGCCTCTCTCAATTATTGTGATTCTGTAAAACACAGAGATATTTTGAGGAATGTCCAAGTTGCTGTTTTTCATACATTGAAAATGCATAAATATCCCAAAATGACCAAATAAGCAACATAAAAGTAGACCATACATCTTATGTGCTATATTACAAGTCTTCTTAAAGGGATAGTTCACACTATATTACAACTCTTCTTAAAGGGATAGTTCACCCAAAAATGAAAATCATCCCATAATTGACTCACCCTCAAGCCATTTGTATGACTTTCTTCTTTCAGCCAAACACAATTGGAGTTATATATTTAAAAAAATATCCTGGCTCTTCCAACCTTTATAATGAGTGAATGGTACCCTATATTATGAAGCACAAAAAAGTGCATCCATCCATCATAAAAGTAATCCATACAACTCAAGAGTGGTTAATAAAGGCCTTCTGGAGCAAAGCGATGTGTTCTTGCAAGAAAGATATCCATATTTATAACTTTATAAACTATAATCAATGGCTTCCGGCTTTCCTCTAACCCAACGCATGACGTATTGACAAACGTGGAAGCGCAGAGGTTTTGCTGAAAGAAGAAAGTCATATACACCTAGGATGGCTTGAGGGTGAGTGAATTATGAGATCATTTTAATTTTTGGGTGAACAATCCCTTTAAGCAAGCTTCAATCTGCTCATCACAAAGTTGCTTTGAAAGCTGGACATGATTTCAAATGTAAGTTGTGTTTGACGTTTAATGTCAGAAACTGATTATTTTTGGGTGAACTACTTCTTTAAACTTGGATTTGGAAGTATTCAAGCTATGTAATCTTATCCATATGCTCATCAAAGATGTGATTGGGGTTGCTGTGTTAAATTGGATAGTATGCATTGGTTTGTGTTACGTGCCGCTTTAACACATCTTGCTTTCTGCTGTTTACTCTGCCAGCAGATTGATGTTTCCCATCATCTTCATCATGAAACACATGTTGGGCAACAGTCTTAGCCTATCGTCTCTATGTTGCTATAGCAGCGTTTAACTAACTTTGCAGTTGCTCGAAAGAAATGGTGGAGCTCTTATTGGTTTGCGGTAAAGCCTTAATTACTAGTTGCTTTTTGGATCTCCTCGGATGAAATTACAAATTGGCTTGGCATGGAAGACATCTGAGGAACCCAAACCGAATTCCTCGTCCCTGATGGAAACATCAAGATGTTTCCCTGGTTGTGACCTCTATTAAGAGGTTTTGGCTTTTTCTTCTTCAGTGTGTATTTATTAATATGCACATTTTATATGAAGTTGAAGAGGAGTAAATCTTTTGGGCAGATGTTAGTTGTGTTTGCCGTTCCCGTGCTTTAAGGCTTAATATGGAATGGCAGAAAGATTGTTGAAAATGAAATGGCCATTTGTGATAGATGTGGGCCAGATCAGATGGAAAATGAGTTTGTGGGTGTGTGTTCAATCCAAACTTGGCTCAGCTGTAAACTGTAGGGTTTGTGTGTGTGTGTGAGATGATATATATTATCCATTCACTTGTAGTGTTACTCAAACACAACACAAAGCTGCCTCTCCCGGTGGAGTCTTCCTGTTGGCCCGTTTGGGAAACTCTTCCCACTGTGTCCTTCTTTAGAAGACTTTAAACGTGGGACCTTTGTGGGTTTTCCAGAGAACTGGAAATGTGTCTTTAACCTGCATGATGACAATATCAGGCAAACACTGTTGTGTAATGATGATGATGATGGAGATATTTCTTTCACTCTTGTTTGTTTGGCTCGCTGTTTAAATAAGAAACATGATGTTTATTCGAATCTCTCAGCAACCACCTGCTCCTGTTGGAGTCCAGGCAATCAATAAATAAATATATAAATAAATAATAATTTCAAAAATATATATGTATAAAAAAAAACATAAGTGCTTTTTATCGTGATTAATCACACAGAATGAATTTGTGATTAATCTAGTTAATTTTTAAACGATTTACAGCACCAATATAAATATATATATATATTTTTAGTTGTAGTTAGGCTGGTTTTGAAAATGATAAAACTATTTTTACCAACCTAAGTACCCTCTGGTTATCTGTAAATACACTGTATAAATAGTATGCATTTTTATTTTAGTATTAAAGTGTTTATTTTGTGTGTTGTTGTTTTTTTGTAGGGATGCACCGAATCTTTGGCCACCGAAAATTTTCGGCCGAAAATGGCCCAAAAGTGCATTTTAGCAAAGACTTTTATCACCGAAACAATACGGCCGAAATGTTGTGATGACGCAAACAGAAACCGCGACCTGCACGTGCTTGTGAAGCAACATGTCTGCGGTGTGTATATCTGATGGTGTCATGGTGTGTTCACACCGAACGCGAATTTAATTATTTGCGCGAGTAGATTACAAACAAAGTCAATGCAAAGACGCGAATAGACGCATCATTCGCGCGGGGCGTTGCGAATGACGCGAATTGGGCGACGCGTTTGACGCGAATGTCTTCCGCGCAAGTTGAAAAATTTGAACTCGAGCGAATGTTCAAGCGTCTAACTAGACGCGATAGACGCGTATTTGACGCTCTATTCACGTTCGGTGTGGACACACCATCACACCAATGTTAAGTCAATGTAAAAAAGACCCGTTAACGCGCGTCTAGAGGTGCTGCGGCGTGAATGAGGCGTTTTGCGAGGCCCGGTAGACGCGAATTCGCCTCATTCGCGCGTTTAAGTTTTTGCAATTTTAGTGCTTAAACTACTTTATTGCCAAAGCACCATTTTTAAGTTTTTCATTTAATCTAATATTTATATTTTATTTTATTTCTAACAATAACAACACTGATAGTATATACTATAGTATTTCTACACTTGCCCGGCAAAAAAAAAAAAGTGGTATTGACTTAAGTATTTGCCTAGTACTGAAATCCGAACAGCGACTTTTTTTGTCTGGGCAGTGTATATATACACACAGTATGTGCTGATAGCAGTTTTGGATTTACAGGCCTTTTATAGATAACCGCTTCATCCAGCAGCTGAATGTCTGCAA